CCTTGTACATCCTTGTGGGATAAGGAAGAAGTGGCACGTATCCATCCTCCGACAATGCCTTCCTTGCCGCCTTCCTCTCATTCCTCGAGGGCTTCTTCTCTCCCTTTTTGTGGATGATTTCTTCCTTGTTAGAATCCTCATTCTCCACCACTTCATTAATGGCAACTTTCGGAACCACCTTCACACTCCTCACTTGAAGTGCATTCACCCCGACTTGATTGGGATTCGCCACGGTTTGGGAAGGCAAGGCTCCCTTGGGTCTCTTGGTGAGGATGCCGGCAAGATTGCCTAATTGCACCTCCAAACTTTGGAGGCTCTCTTGATTGCTTTGAAGACCCGCCTCAACCGAGGTAAACTTGGTAGTCGCCACATCCATAAATTGCTCTATCTTCTCGAACTTTTGGCTACTCGTACTCACAAAGGTGTTCACTAGGTCCTCAAGATTGGATAACTTGTCGGGTTGATGTTGTTGTTGAAACCCTAGGGCACCTTGTGATTGGTACGGTTGTTGAAAGTTTGAGCCTTGGAGTTGGGGCCTTTGTTGGATGAAAGTTGGCCGAGGTTGGAAGTTCCCCGTGGGGCCTTGGAAACCCGGGGGCCTCGGATTAGCCGGTGATGACCAAGCAAAGTTGGGGTTGTTCCTCCACCCAGGGTTATAAGTATTGCTATACGGGTTGTTGACCCTAGCATTTGCCACGAAGTTGACTTGCTCCTCCGGAGTGGTTGCCTCCTTCATTGCCTGGCACTCCACCATCTCGTGGCTAGTACTCGAACACCAGCCGCACGACATTACCACCTGTTTTCCTTGCCTTTTATCTTCAAGCATAACCTCAAGCAACTTATCCAACTTCGCCTCAAGCGGAGAACTCGCTCCCAAGCTTCTCACTCCCCTATAATTGCTTCTTCTTCCACTTCTAGTCAACCCCAAATCATACCCCCTAAGGGCCATATCTTCAAGGATCTCGGATATTTGGGGCGGAGCCATATTTATCAACTTTCCCTGACACAAGGAGTCAATGAGGATCTTATCTTCTTGCATTAGGCCTCCGTAGAAGGTTTCAATCCGAAAATGTTCTTCAAACCCATGGTGAGGGCACTGAAGAAAGTAATCGGAGTACCTCTCCCAAGCATCCCTCAAGGTCTCATCCTCTTCTTGCTCGAAATGTGTAATCTTCTTTCTCCACTCCGCCGTCTTCAATGGAGGGCAATAACGAGCCATAAACTTGTTGAGGAGGTCGTCCCATGAGGTGATAGACCGAGGTGGGCAGTTGTTTAGCCACCTAAGTGCCTACCCGAGAGTTAGTATGGGAAAAACCTTAGTTGCAAAGTTTCGGCCGGCACACCATTAATTTTCAAGCTCCCCGTGAGCTCCAAGAATCTCTGCACGTGCTCTCTTGGTGACTCGCTTTCATGGCCGTGGAATAGAGCATTACTTTGTATCATAGTCACTAGAGCCGGCTTGATCTCGAAATTGTTTGCCGCCACCGGAGGATGTAGGATCGGTGATTGAATGTCCGCCGGCCATGGGGCCATATAATACCCCATCGTCCTCGGGGCTCCTTCTTCTCCCGCCGCCTCATTCATATGGCGCACTTGAGCGCATCCATCTCGTCTTTGGTTCCCCGCCATTTCCTCTTCAACGACGGGTTCAACTTTGACTTCTTCAACTCCTTCTCCACTAACACCAGGACTCAATTGTTGTCCCCATCTTTCACTCCTTCTCCTTGCCTCGGCTAGCTCTCTCTCCCTTGCTAGGAGTCGGAGAGTTCAGTTTATGTCCTCGTCAAGTGGTAGCAAGGGTTACGGGTTGCTCCGGGTCATGCACCACCTACACACAATCGGAAGACACCAAGTCTAGCACAAGCAAAGAACACACACTATCAAAAGCTAGATTAGCAACCAACAACTTTTTTAGAATAACAGACCGCTGGTCCCCGGCAACGGCGCAAAAAACTTGACTCGCACGAAACTACACCACAATAAAACCCCAATTAGAGCCCATGTTTTTAAACTTTAATCGGGTGCAGTATAGGGCAAGTATTTAGATATCGACCCAGGCCGGTCCGTCTATCCCTACTTCCGTTGTTGAAATCATTATATAGCAACAAAACTTTGGTTTAACGGTTTGCTAATTTAAATAAAAGAAAGCAAAGGTAATTGGGTTTGAAAACTCTTTTGTGGGAAAGTCACTCGGGTGTCGCTTCCCCCTAACCGCTACCATGCTATGTGAATTGGAACGATGCCTTTGAGCATGATAATCGCGAACCGCAGTGGGATGCATATGTGGTCGGAGACCGCATCTCAATTGCTAAACCGAGGTAAGGATGAAAGGTCATGTCACTCGACCTTCTCGGTTTAGACAATCGGTAATTTGACTTAATCACTCACTCAACTCTAAGGTCGGACGGTTTAGTCACGATTAATCGAATGGCTTAACTCAATATTGAGGGTCGCCCTAACTTAACCTAGTTTAGGTGGCTTAGAAAGCGGAAGGAAAACCAACTCGATTGAGTCTCCCTTGAAAGGGGTATTTTCCTCTCTAAACTAGGCTAAGGTAGGGATGGCAATGGGGCGGGTTTGGGGCGGGTTTGCCTAAACCATTCCCATCCCCATCTTCAAATACCCAAACCCATACCCGCCCCGTACCCATGCGGGGGAATGTTTTGCAAACCCATCCCCATACCCGTGGGTTTCGGGTACCCATGGGTAATACCCATCCCCGTACATCCAACATTATTATACCTAAAACTTACAAGAAAAGTTTTAATTATAACCATAAACAAACCTATTATATCACGAAGTCAACAAAACACGGTCATTTTCTAAATACGATTCAAAGAATATGATCCTAAAACATCCATTAATACATAATATAGACTATAATATTTTTTAAATTATTATGCTCTAACTCTTGATACATTTACTAAGTAATAATTAACTAACATAATTTTGTTGACAAGGGGGAAAGTGAAAGAGTGGAAGGAGAATTGAGGGAAATGAATTAGGTTTTGATTAAGGTGGTTACTCAATTGCATTTCTACTATTTATTTTCTCGAGTTATCAACATCATCATTGAAGATTACAATTTAATCCACGTATTTTTTGATATGTGAAGAAATTCTCTTGGTGGGGCGGGTATGGGTATGGGTATGGGGCGGGGGAGGCTAAAACCATACCCGCCCCATACCCATCAAACCTTTTGCGGGTTTTACCCATACCCGCCCCATACCCGGTCAAAGCGGGGATTCCCCGCGTTGACTGGGTATGGGGCGGTCGGATACCCGCGGCCATGGGTTTGATTTCCATCCCTAGGCTAAGGTGGTAAATTAGATTACTAGCACCTAAATGCACAAACCTAGGGGTGCTAAGCACTATTATGCACAATCCTTAGGGTCTAAGCACCTAAATGCACAAACCTAAGGATGCTAATCACAAAACATGCACAACCCCTAAGTTGCTAAGCACAAGCATGCACAATCATGGTGAATAATGCATCAATCATTGAATTGAACAATACCCAATGACAATCATCCAAAACACATACAAGAAAAATACATGGTAGAGTTAGGGTTTCACTACACCCAAGTGAAAGGAGGTCTACTCCAGGCTAGAAGTGGGAAGAACAAAAGGGAAAAAGGTGGAAACCATCTTGGAGGATGCTCTCAGTCTTCTTGACCCTCGAGTTGAGCTTTCCTTAGGGAAAATCTTCCCAAAATCTGCCTTGAAGCCAAACTCTAACCTCCTTCTTCCCTTTGGTTCTGTTTCTCTCACTAGAATGCTGAAGAAGGTGTTTCACACAAAAGTGGTCTCTCCCCTCTCTCCTCCTTTCAGCTTATCTTTTAAACCCGAGATGAGCTGAGTTCACGGCCGTGAACCATCAAACGCGTCTGTGAACTCAAGGCGTGTGCCAAAATGCTCCACATTGCTCACGTCTGTTCGCGGTCAACTGCCTATGTTCACGGTCTTAGTGACCGTGAACTCACCTTGCGTCAGTAACCTTCACATTGGCTCTGGACGCCTCGCGATTCACGGTCAACTCCCCTTCTTCACGATTTTGCATGACCGTGAACTCCTTCAGTTCGCCGTGAACTGGCTTTTTTCTCCTCTTCTCCCGGTTTTCGATCCTTTTCGCCAATCTTTCGACTTTGAGACTGGTTTCACCTGTTAAATCCTGAAACACACTCAAACACGAAGAACCTAGCGTAAAATCAACCTTTTAGGAGCGAATTTGGCACAAACATCTAAGTAAAACGGGGGCAAAACATGTGCAATTAGGCCCGAATCACGGGCGCTTTTGACATGGCCTTCTTGTAGCCCACGATGAACAAGCCGTTGGAGGCAATGATGATGTTGAGGGCGCTGATGGCGCCGACAACGGCGAAGACAGAGTTGCAAGCCGGAATGAACATCGGCTCACCTGACAAGAGGAAGTAAGCAGGAGTGGACATCGACTTCTTTCGGAGAGCAGGACAAGGACACCAAGGTTGGATGGGGATCGACATCTTCAGGAGACGAGGAAGTAAACCAAAGTTGACATCGGCTTCTTTCGGAGAAGGGGCTATCGGGTTCAAACTTTGAGACTTATAGCGGCAAACCTCGAATAAATTTAGGGTTTTTTCGGGATCGAAACCAGCTCTTATACCATGAAGAATTTGATAATGCGGAAGGAAAATAGAACACGAGACAATGAGTTTGACGTGGTATCCTCTATTGATTGATCAATCGAGACTAATCAACGGTGAGCTCGAAAGAGCTCACGGCTGATGTTTTATTATGGACGACATCTTGACGGCTTGCTTACGACAATCTCGTAGCTAAGCTTTTATAGAGAAAGACTAGGGTTAAAACCCTAACGAAAATAGTCGAGTACGGTCAAGTATTTGTACCTACTACAACTCAGACAAGACCCAACGAAGCCCATGACTGACACGGTTTATTAACCGCAACAAAATCGGATGTTAATATTGAATTAGAGATGTCCTCTAATAAGACTAGTGTTAGAACAGCCCATTGGACCAGGGGCTGGTAAGCTTGAGCAGGCTCGAGCCCAGTTGGCCACCGCTTCAAACGACTAGGTGAGTTTGTCAACACAACCTCGTCATGTAAATGTATTAGACTCTGCAAGAGAGAAACAAACTCCGCCACTTCAAACGACAAACTGGGTTTTGACTTCTAATATGAGCTTCAATTGGAGTATTTAGACTGTACAGTTTTGCTAACTTCCTCGATGCTATGGCTTCTTTGTGTAACTTGACAGCTTAATTTGAGGAGGTAGCGTCCTGTTAAGTACTGCAGTACAGTTACTATTCTCAAGCACGGAAGGTGTTTGACAAAAGGCCCAGCTGAATAACTAAACAGGTACTTTTGGGGTCTATCTTTCGTCTTGTGTTGCCATCCTTTGTTGTAATTTTGGCCCTTCTTTCTGATTTAGCATCCAGAATTTAAATGGTGATCTTTGCTAAACTGTTGAACTTGCTTCGTGTCCCATTCTTACAATGTTGAAGGGTATGACATGCTACTTTTGTACTGAAAGCGTTTGCATTAATTCAATGCCATGCGTCCAATTGCTTGTTTTGGATTAATTGCGACTTGCGAGTCTCCATGAGTTAGGAGGCCTTTAGGTGTCTGATATATGTTCAATTGTTCACTGATTCGTTCTTTATGCTTTCTTAGGTGGGTTCATGGTAATTTCTGGTGGCATCATGGAGAACGAAGAAAAGACTGAGCTTGCCGGGTTTCTGAAAACTTTACCCCCTGTAGAGTTTGGTTGTGTGTATGGTTCCACGCTCCATCCAAATAACTCTGACAAGGTTCTTTCCTATGTTCCCTGGTGTTACATGACCTCTGCCTAAAAAGTTTCTAGATGAGACTGTTTTCCTTCGTTCAAATTTATAACTTCAAATGCAAATGATATTGCTGGCCTTTAGTCTTCAATGGTGGATTATATCCTTGGCGTGGCAGATCCTGTAAAATGGCATTCAGAGGTAAAAAGAATTTAGATTGCATAGGCATTCTGGGTTGTATTCCATTGTGGTTGCATGAACGTCTAATGACAACTTCTGTACTTCTGTTTTTCTAGAATCTGAAATTGAATAGAAGTCATTATGCCTCGTGGATGGTTCACCTTGGGGGAGCAAAACTGGTGCCTCTTCCTCTCTCCTTCGCTTTCTCGCTCAATTGTCAGTTATTTATTTCCATAGCCCCAAGATATGATTTGTTGATTTTATTAGATCACTGAAGTTGCAGATGGCATCGGTGTAGGAGTGCACTTCAACCCTTTTGTTACTTGGAATGAGAAGGTATTCTTGTTTATGTGAAATAATTAACTATGACACTGCTTTTACTTGAACTTCACTCAAACAGATCAATGTAGTTTATGTTTTTAATGTTTCTTCTTCCAGTAATCTGTGGTAGTTTCTCATGCATAAGCAATATCTGGCAGATGCTCAAATATGGGGTTGTTAGAATGCATGATCTGGTTGAAGACGTTCTAAATTGGCAGAGGTTTTACATAAGTGGTCGATTACAGAAACCAGTATGTTTCCCTCTCTTTGATTATCCTTTTACGAGTTTTTGGTTAGACCATTTTCTGCTTCGCACTATACATTTGCAGGACTCTCTTATAAGCGTAGTCACAATTGAGAAATTTATTGGAATATATTATAAGGTGCCAATGACATAGCCAGTTGAAATTGATATCAATCTCATACCACCAAATGCAATTTCTGAACTTTTTGCTTCCTGTTCTTTCATCAAATTTTCTTTTGTTCTTCCTGGCATGTCAAGTAAACTCCTGTTCCATACACTTGAGTTTACAATTGCTGGCTTTATTGAATGTAGGTTCGTGTACTTCTGGACAATTTGGATGTTGAGAATTTAAATGCCGCTAATCTTAGGGCTGCAGTCGCTGCTGCTCTCCTCATTTTACCATCTAAATTCAATGAGGTTTGATCATGTGTCGGAGTTTAAGCCTTGAGTATTTCATCAATTTCAATGAAAAATAACGATAGATATGCATAGGATTTAAGGTGCTTTATGTTGTGCAGGAAGATCTCTATTCGACGATATGTAGCTTGTCCTACATGGGTGACTTACGTATGCTTTTCGCAGAGGACAAAAACAAGGTTTGTTTGACTGTAGCTTTCTGGGTTGAAGTTTGGTATTGTTTGATGCCGTGATGATAGTCACCATGTGATTTTACCTCTCAAGGTTTAGCCTCAACCCTCGTTGAAGGTTTAGGTATGAGTTAAGGAACAAATTTGGAACTGACTGTATTGCTTGACAAGGTTCAGATTGCAGAACCACATATTTTTAATGCTCTACCATTCTTTTTTTTTTTTTTTTGTCTTTTAAGTTGCAGTTACTGTTCTTCTGTAGCTATAATATAGATGAATATAACTCCACTTTCCATTCTTTCTGAATGACATGGTGCTGATTCTACACTGTTTATGATATGCACATTCCTCAGGTTAAGAAAATTGTGCAAGGACAATTCTATTTGTTCAGTTCAATGTATAAGCCATTCATTGAAGAATACGAGGCAAAGGAGATACTAAGAGTCTCTTCAATTGGTGGACAACAAAAGTCTCTCTCTCAGGTTCATTTGCATTGTGTGTTTGGAATCAAAAGACTCGTGAAGGAACATTCTTGTAGCTGTGAACAATATTGTCCTTATGTTCAAATCACTCGTCATGTCTGGTCTGCTAGATTTCCACTTCATATTAGGATGAGATCGACATATCTTGATGTTTGCATTTGCAGTTTATTTGTATTCCATGATTATATTTTTCTTCACACAATAAGTGTTCATCTTGTGTATTTTCATCGTTTTCATATACAACATGCTGCAAATCTCAAAAACTGCAGGACTATTGTCTGCCAGCAACACGATCTCTTGTTTGCTCTCTACCTCCGCTGATCAGAAACAAAATGGGGACACAGCTAGGAGAGAAGAAGATAATTGGCGATTCAGGTAGGATAGATCTACTTCAATAGGGTTGCTGGTGAAATGGTTGGTATTAAATTTCAGAGTGTTGGTGGTCTCTATTCTAACCCTCATTGTCTATATGTGTAGGTCGGGTTGTACAGGAAGTAGTCTTCAGTTCAAGAGAAGAGGCTGCAAGAAGCATGCAGAAGGTGGTGAGGCGTACAGTAATGGTTTCCAGCTTAAGGCAGGCAGTCTCTGGCGTCGTGGCTGCCGGAGGAATGAATGCTGGTAGATACCTTGCCAATAAGGTGCGCAAGGCTTGGAAATCATGGATATAGTACATCACCACATCATTCAACCATTTTCCCTTCATTCTTTTCTCATGTTTCTTCCAACTCTAGAATTTGGATACTTGGTAGATTTTTCACTCTTTTGCTACGAACTTATAAAGTAGGTTAGGTGCCTGGAATGTTGAAAATTAGCGACACAACAATGGCTTACTTGTATCTGTAGTCTGCTGGCCATTTTTCATTTTGTTATCAGTCATTGTATCTGTATGTGACATTTTCGCTGCAGCCTCCAAGTAATCCATCAAGTCAGGATAGCAAGCTGAACTTCTGTAGATTAATGAGTTTCTACTGGACGTCACTAGGATATAGTTGATGCCTCAACTATAGCAGAATTTTTATATTACCATATCATGGAGGATCCATTGATGAGACCACATACTTCAGTTAACGGTAAGGCGATGACCTCTGTTCTCCCAGTAAGGGCTCCGGCTGAGCAAGGTATACTGCACATTGCATATGCTCTTGTTCATCCAAAAACTAGGACACCTATTATCGCCGCGCTTCTCATGGTCATGCTATCAAGTGCATTCATTGCTTTCTTCTCAAGCCTAGATGTCTTTGTTGGCTTGACGAAAGACGAGAAAGATACATGACTATGACAGAACAATGAGAAACTGGTGGAATAGCTTCTGCCATCCTCAATACCCCACTGCAAGTATCATTACAGTAACCACTAGCAAAGAACAATCAAGCTTTTGCAACAAAAGTCTGCGATATAGTAATGCTGCCTGAAACTCAAAGTACATTTCAAAGACAGGAAGAACTGGTTATCATTACCTTATTCCTGAAAGCATGTTCTCAACATTCTCGAAACAACAGATTCCCTACTCTTGCTAGACTAGATGTGCACGAACAGTAACATTTGATAAAGAAGAATCAAAAGCTGTAGAAAATGTTATGATTCGTAAATACCAGATAAACAACCTTTCATTTAGAGAGATGACTATACCCTCCTCCAGATTGATGGCCAAAATACAAGCCATCAACGAAGCAAATACAAATTCTGGGTTGTTATAAACGAAAAGAAACCCCGAGAATCCAATCTGAAGTATGCATCAATGGATCTATTTCCCTTTGTTACGCTTGGCGGCACCCTTTCCTTGCCCTTTCTTAGGGGGGCCCTTCCCGCGACGTTTCAACATCTCGAGCTTGGACAGCCGCCTGAAAAAAGGAAAAAGAAAAGTTGCAGGGAACCATTAACAACAACATTTCATGGATTCATTGGATATGCATCATAGCAGCTTGTATCTATATCTGCAACAGATTATTGACTCTGTTTATCTGGAGGCTGCTCATCCAATTGGCATAAAGTTCTTTCTTATTCAATAAGGCACACAGTCACAGCAGGCATTTAGTCAAGCACATTGCGGGCAAAATAAAAGAGTGAAGAGTAGAGGAGGAAGGGGGCATACTCCTGTTCTCGAGCGGCCATGATAAGAGGGTCGTCCTTAGTGATGTCGTGAGGGTACCACTGGGAGACTTTCTCGCCGATGAGCTTCTTCCGGAGTAATTTGTGGGGAGATCTTTGCCCTGTTGGGTTTAGAACATGCCCAAATATCCTAGCTCTAGCTTCCGTCACCCCTTGGGTCACCGCAGTTTCCAGGAGCCTCCTCAGCCCCACGCCGCTCATTTTGGACTTCGGAGGATTTGAGGAATGCAAACGTTGGAGACGGTAAGTGGAGATTACAGCGGTCTAGCTAGTACAATGGGCACTGATGAGGAGGCCAAGAGGGACGGCTGTAAAAGAAACAAAGAAACAAAAAACTACGTCAGATTCTCCAATCAAAAAAATAATGCCACAAAATACAGGCCACCAACGTGCCACAAAAAAGCCAAGAGCAGGTGGATCAAAAATGTTGATCGAGAGTCAGGGGAGCTCCATGTTATCAGAAAGTGAAGAACTTAGGGACTTCTTTTGATGAACTCCATAAGGGGTAAAAAAGTTACTGCTTTGAGTATGTACAAAAATGGTGGTTAACAAGATTACTGTAATTTTTTTTTGTTTTTACCATTAGTTGGTCAAACAATATCCATCCTCGAACCAGAAAAAAAAGGTTCTTCTCACTAATTAACACAGTTGCTGAACTCCTCATTTGACAAGAGAAACAGATTGCAACAGAACATTGCAAGGGAAAACTCAAAACTGAAAACTGAGAAGCTCCAAACCAAAATTACCTACGGATGCAGCTTATCAATTGAAGGGGGACTCAACAGAAGAAAAAAGTTCATTCTCCCTGCAATATATTGGACAACTTGCTGAAATTAAAAAAGGAAATCAAAGAACAGCTTCTTGGAACTGGCGGAACGAACAAAAGCTATCCTATGCGTTTTCAGATAATAGAGATCGAGTATCGCAACTTAATCTACAAAGTGAGTCACACAACAACACCCATTTATTAGCAGCCAAACAGCGCGCGCCATTGATGAATTTCAAATGTAAGTGTTCGAACTAGAAATTAAACGATTGAGGGAGGTAGAGACAAGAGAGACCTCACAAGTGGAAGGAGCGAGGACTAGCTCGGTGACTGAGATGACGCGATCTGCAGGAGGTCCAATGGTGAGTGAGTGGCTGGCGATTCTCGAACTAACTCCCTGAAATCGAGTGGGAGGTCCGGCGGCGAGTGTTTGGCGACTGAGTTTAGCAAGAGGTTTGGCAGTGAATGGCGCGCGGTAAGTTAAACGATTTGCATGCGCAGATGAATCGTTGTTTGACGATTTGATTTTTTAGGGTTTCAGATGAGAGCGGAATTTGGAGAAAGCCAAGAGACAAAATAGGACAGTGAAAATCAAGGTTGTCGACCCAGACCCAGACCCGATGAGAAAAACGGGTCGTACACACTCGTCGGGTCGATCACTACAAGGTAAGGATTGGAGGTCAACTAGTATTATTATTTTTATTTGAGAAATGCGCCTATTTTCTTATTTTTCTTTTCACCTAGCTCAATATTTGAAATACTTAATTGAACATTTGAATATTGATGTAATATAAGTATGTGTGAATTTTCACTATATGTTGGATCTAAATACGACATGTTACTTTAGTGTAATTTTATATGTTATTATTCATATGTTAGATTAGATTTGATATCATCTATGAGGATAAGTATAATATAATAACTATTTCCATATTTCCAGACTAAAACGGGCGACTCATTAACCCTTGACCCACTAGGTCGACCGGGTTCGGGTCAACCCACAGGTTGACAACCTTGGTGAAAATTAATTTCCCACTCTCTTCAATTCTGCGTCCCGAGTACCGACCCTAAAGTAAAACAACAAAAAAGGTCGACCCGCCCCGTGGCAGGTCGGGTAATTGATCTCGGGTCACGGGTCGGGGCAGGTCCACCCAATGGGTATGCAATTTATATTAAAAACATTAGTAATATTTGTTATATTTATTATAAGACTAAGAAAACAAACAATATTATGACAATTGTAGTTAAATTATTGGAGTAATTGAGGTTTTCACTAATTTACAACTTTCTTATAGCTAAAAATATGATGCAATAAAAGGAAAATCCTAAGTAATTCGACTAATATTACATGTAATTTAGACAAGAACGGGTCGAGAATGGGGCGGGTCAGGGCAGGTCGGGTCGATGAAAAGCAGTTGTGTGACCTAAAAGCGTAAAACCGTAAGCTTTTAAGTTTTAAAACGTAGATTTTGACTACATTTATAAGAAAAATCACGATTCTACGTGGAAGCGTTTTGGTGACCCAAAAAGGTAAAAGCGTAAATTTTAAAGTTTTAAAGCGCGATTTTGACTGCATTGCATTTGATAAACAAAAGCAAGAACCAGAGGGTCGAAGTTGCTACGAAGACTGTTTTCTGGCAGACTTCGAGCACAAACAAGCTGCCAGAAAAACAGCCTTCGTAGCAACTTCGACCCTCTGGTTTGAAGCCTTACAGATATCCAATCTTTCATCCAATGCCTTGAGTTTGTATAAAAACATACCTAATTTAACGTGGTAGAGGCCCCTGGACACGATTCACATCCATGCTTCTCGAATTGAGTTCCAAAGTAGGCTTCACAAACACGTTCCCAGACTTAGCCATTTTCAGGCAGTTTCAAAGTTTTGGCATAGCCTTTTGATCAAGTTCACAAATGCATGTCACCGTAGCAAAGTCTCTAAACTTTACCCTAATTTAACAATTTGGTCAATCTTTTAACTAATTTCTATCTTATTTATACTATTATAAAAATAACTTATTTGATCCAACCGAAAGTTAACCGTTAAGTTAGACTATCTACTTGTCATGTCACTGTTTTATCAGCACAAATAACCATAAATAATTCATACACCACATATTATCTAATTTTGTATTTTTAATTAAATTAAAGCATAAAACTAAACATAAAAAATGGGAGTGGCTAATTGTCGCCCTAATTTATTGTAATCGTCCTAACTTATAAATTGTTATTACCCTTTTACCCATCTCTCCTTTTATTGTTAAGAAATAAAAAACACAATTAATCAAAACAATTTCACTTAACCATTTCCACCACAGCCGATCTTAACCCCCGCCGGTCGCCACTATTTCAATCAGAAGGATAACTTATCGGGAACAGTGCAATCGGGGCCGGGGCTTCCACTATTACATAATCGGCCAACACGTTTCATATTGGATTAAGATGCTAAAAAAAGAAAATCGAACTCAATATAAAAAGAAGTACATAAGTTGACGGGCCAATGGAAAAGCTTCTTTCCATAGTGCATAAATTCATGATAAAAATGGCGTAATTTGGTTAAGGGGCGAGGGAGTGAGATGCGAAGAACAGGGGAGCGATGGATTTTCGGAATTGGCTTGGAGGTGGTTATCCGTCATCGTCATGGTGCATTTTTTGAGGAGAAGGGTGTAGGCGACGGCGAGGAGAAGTAACGATGGCCGGATTGTAGGGATGACGGCGCCAGAGGGTGTTTGGAGAGGAGTATGTGTTGTTGAAAGAGGATAAGGGGTTTGTTTTTTTTTTTAATTTGGTTTGATTAATGAAGGACAATTTAGTATTTTATGTTTTATTTTAGGACGATAATAGTAAAATTAGGGCGACGTTTAGTCATTCAGTAAAAAAACTGGCATGGAGGTCTCTGTTGAATTTCAAAACTCTAACTTTGAAATATGTGGTATTTCAAAATGTGGAATTTAAGAAAAAAAATTAATGATGACATGGAAGGTATCTGCCATGGAGGTCTCTGTTGAATTTCAAAACTCTAATTTTGAAATATGTGGTATTTCAAAATGTGGAATTTCAAAAAAAGTAAAAAAAAATTTAATGATGACATGGAAGGTTCCACCAAGAGCACATGTAACTTCAAGGTTTTTATAGGAAATTATTCATTTCATCACAAAACATGAAGGTTGGATCATTCCTTATAACCTATAGATCTCTAACCTGATTTGTCAATATGAGTTTTATCTAAGGTATTACATCATCCCTCAATGGTATTTAACGTCCTTGTAGAAGTTTGCCCCAACCAACATTCAAGATGGACGCATAAAGGTTCTAATAGAACGTGTAACATCTTTCCCCTACCTCCGCTTTGGGTCTAATCTCGGTTTTGCTTTTAAGTACATCATGGTGACTTCTCAAGAGGTCACACATCTCTTCACTGCATGTTTAACTTCAGAGTTCTTATAATCATCCCAAAATGTGTCTTCTCAGTTGAGTTTGAATTATTTTTATGACTCATGTATCTCTTTTGTACTTTGTATATATTAGATTTGTCTAAAATGTTACATTGCACCTTCTTTTTCCTGCATTTCTTAATGATTGAGATTGTTGTTTTTCGAATATAAACTCGATCTCTTACAAAACGAGTACAAGTATCGAATTTTACATCCCAACCTGCGCATGGCATTCCTACCCTTAACCATTTCATCCAGCTAAATATTTTTGGCCCATGGACTAAATATTGGCTCGCGCCCCGGCCACTCTGACCCCTTTTCGTTGACCAAACCGAATAAAATCAGAAGCCCGCTTCTTCCTTTTGTCTTCATAATCCCGCGCCTTCAAATTAAGGGGTCGTTTGCTTCAAGGATTTGGTACATGGATTTGGTACCAAAAAACCAACTATCAAGGATTTAGGTACAATCCGTTGTTTGCTTGCACCTTTTTTGGAGACCAAATCCGTGGGGCCCACGGATTTTAAGGGTCCAAATCCGTGGACCCCACGGACTTATAAATCCCACATGTTGATGTGGGATTTGGAATATGGCATAAATCCTTGATGAGATTTTACCCATATACCCTCATGCACTTTTAATATTCCAAGGTTGCCCTCAAATTTAACTATTATACATTATAATTAACAATAAATGAATAATATAAACGTTCAATTAATGTGCAAACATGAGTTAGATTTTTTATATCATTTCTTGTGTTCTAGTTTTCTTTGACCTTTTCATAGAACGTGTAATTCTTTGTTCTCACGATTCTAATATATGTTGTTATATGTTACTTTTGAAAAGGAGGACAAAGAATTGGTAATTGATTATGTTACGTTAAAAGTTAAAACGGAATTTTCTCGTTTATTATTATTTTCCATGTGGCAACATTATGCTTATTAGTATGTATTGTCATTGTTTTGTGTACATATCATAAACATGTCAAACATATAGAAAATGATAGTAAGGTAATTTTGAAGTTTTGTCCTTGTTTTGTGTACATATCATAAACATGTCATACATATAGAAAAGGGCAGTAATGTAATTTTTGACTTCAAGTAGTAAATCCCACACCTTTAAATCCATGATAAAAACATCCCAACAAACAAAGGATTGTTACAAATCCATGATGTCTCAAATCCTTGATAAATCCTTGCAGCGTGCCGGTTGATCTTTCCAATTTCTTTGACGCCGATCTTTTCGAGTCCGGTGGCGTGTGCATAAAACGGAAATTGCTTCCTAATCACTCTACCCTACTCTTTGATCCGCCGACGTCTCCTTGTTCTTTAGTTGTCTCCACTCCAGAATTCCACTCAAAAAGCTCCAATGGAGGACGCCGACCTCGAAGTCGTAGAGATTTCCCCGTTCTCCCTCCCGCCTTCCCACTTCACCGGGAAGAGAACACAGAAACAGGTCGGTTCTTCGATTCAAAACTACTTCATTTTCTGATCGTGGCTTTTTTGTTTGTTTTGAGCGGCCTTTTTGTTTCTGTTCTTGTTGGGACTTCTCATTTCCCCTCCATTGATGATCAGGGCCTTCGCCACTTTCCCCTCTGCGTGCTTTTCCCGGGTTTTATGATGGTGTTTTTTAAGAGTTGGATGAGTTAATTGAATTCTTGGAGGTGCTACTGTGCGTCTGTGCGTGGGTTCTTTCTCACAAATCTGTTGACCCTTTGCTCTTTCGAGCAGCAGCCAAGTTCCGAGCATTGAGCAACAATGCAAAACATGAGACGAAGTATGATGTTGGCAATGTTTCGTATTTTGCAGCCAGTTCATTTACCATTCCTTCAAATTGTTCAAGCCTTTTCCTTTAAAGCTCACACAACTCTAATGCTCTAAAGTACACTCCTTTAGATTTAGGGAAACTTAACCTGACCTAACTTTAGACCTCTAATAGTCTAATGTGCAAATGAACTCGTACATCAAAAGATGTTCCTCAAGTTTTCTGCATGTTGGTTCCCTGGGTCCTACAGTCAGTGGGACAAGAATATGCCATCAGTTACATGAAAATATCTTCAATGTTGTTACTCTTGTTGTGGATGTTATTTGACAACATTGGATAGGTTTCTACTCTTTAGTAACACATTGTTACTTGTGATGACTCTTTATAGCATGTTCTCCTTGAAATCATTGATGTTGATGAGTACGATATTCTCACTGATGTCATGATCCTGGACGAGAACTTTCACAAAGACAAGAAAGGCAAAGTGATCAAGGATGAGAAAGTTGTCAATGGTGTGAAAGATGAGGTATACAAGTACATATTGACCTCCAACTCACGCTATAGCATCATCTCCAACTCACCTCTACATGTCATTGGACTCGATTGTCAGGATGTAATCTATGTACCTCCTCCCTTCTGGAAGTCTACATCAACTACGCCTGATGTGAAGAAGCGGAACCATACTTCTATAGCAAGCAAAAGAGATGCAGGTAGCAAGGGACCAACGCTTCCAAGTTCTGCACGTATTAGTACATCTGCACATCTTAATTTCTTTGTTCTGTTCAACCATCCTATCTTTCATATCTAAAGAGTAGACTGGAAGTGAACCGCACATGGACTATCAATTCTCATGATCTGCATATGCCTCATGCAGAAGAGCAACCTGGAGCTCCAAGTGATGAAAGTTTGATGAAGTTGAAACTCTTCAAGCGTTTCGACATCGTTGAAGGCCATTCAGACCATCACTTTAAGTCTTCTTCGTCGGTACAAGTGACTATTTGTTAACTTATTGCTTCTTGGCTTTGTAAGGACACTTCAAATAGGTTTTTTTCTTCCAATGCTGTCCAAACCAATACTTCGTGACGTAATCTATTGCAGTTTGTATGTTTAAATTCCTCTTTTGTTCTGCCAGACTTCGAAGAAGTGGGCAAAAAGAATTCAAGACGAGTGGAGAATTCTGGAGAAAAATTTGCCAGGTGGGTTTATAGAAAGTAGGAAAATTCTTAGTCTCTTTTAGTTGTTCCTAACCTTCTTCTATATCTTCGTAGCTCTATAGATGAGCCTTTGACATTATCCAGTCCTCTCTGTGAAATGACTTACTACTCCATAGGAGCTCCAGATCAAGTATAGCTGAAGAATTTTAGATGATTGTTGATATTTTTCCTATAACATTGTTACTTAAATTTCGTTTTGTGAAAATGTTGTTCATGGATGTGAACAGATAGCATATATGTGAGGGCCTATGAGTCGAGGATGGACCTATTGAGGGCCGTAATTGTTGGTGCAGACGGAACTCCTTACAGCGACGGTCTGTTTTTCTTTGATATCTCCTTCCCTGTTGAGTATCCAAGTGTTCCTCCGGTATGTGATGTTCTATTCATGCAGTGCATTGTTTCTTATGCCATTGCACTTTCTCTCACAACTCTCTCTCTCTCTCTCTCTCTCTCTCTCTCTCTCTCTCTCTCTCTCTTCCCATTTATCAGGAAGTCCACTACCATGTTGGTGGTCTCGACATAAACCCAAACCTGTACTCAAACGGATATGTTTGCCTTAGCCTTCTTGGAACATGGAGTGGTAGCCACAATGAGAACTGGCAGCCTAGTTTTTCAAATGTATTGCAGGTTCTGCTTTCTATACAAGCATTGCTATTGAATGAAAAACCCTACTTTAACGAACCTAGTTATGAAGACTTCAAGGGCACCCCTGAAGGTGAAATCGAGTCCCTAGAGTACAATGAGGAAATATTCCTTCTTTCCCTCAAGACAATGGATTATTCAATGAGGAGGCCACCAAAAGTAAGTGCCTTTTGGTCGATTATAATCTGGTTTTCAGATAGTTTATGCACATGTAAAGCTGGAATGAACCTGTCTTTTGGTTCCATGTATGATGTATGACAACCGAGTCAAAAGACTTAAAAATCGATCGGAAAAAGGGTTTCACTATTACCATTCTACTACTTTCTGCAGATTTTTAATTTCTATCCGAATATCTAAATCGATCTTGTCCACATTGCAGCATTTCAAGGATTTCGTGAAGGACCATTTCCACAGCCGAGCGAAGGACATCATGGTGACGTGCAAAGCATACATGTCCGGTGCTCAATTCGGGTGCTTGGTGAAGGGCGGAATCCAGGATCTCAACAGAGGAGCCAAGAGCTGCTCGCCAAACTTTACGGGCTCCTTACCTGCACACATGGACATGTTGGGAAACGTTTACCAAACTTGGAGTAAAAGAATTATGAAGGGGATCTATTTTAAACTTTTTTAATTATCTTTTTAGGAGTTCATTTAAATCTTGTAGCGATAGAGAGCCCAACTATCAAGCCAGTTTGATGAGATGCCTAGAGCAGCAAATAGGGCCAAACTCTTTGAAGGTTTTTCTTTTGTGGGGAATTGTATATGGGTGTGAAGAAATATTTATGGGACACTGAACCTATTAGGATCATCAGATTTTAGTGCATTGCAAGTAATTCCATTTTGGTGTTCGACAAGCTGAGAATGAGTTTATATATACGGTTTGGGTACATGATTCCATTTTGGTGTTCGGCAAGAAAAAAGAATCATTCACGGGAACAATTTGGAATAGAACAACATTAAAGAGTTGCGGGTCATGCACAAAAAGGGGAACCGAAACTCCCTTCCCGTACCAGATGTTGTGCTGCTCTTCTAGCTTTTACTCAGCCGGCAAGCATCAATTCAAAGACAACATAAAACTATGGATTTTCACATCAGATCAAGGTCGAACTGCTCCTCCTTTCGTTGCCTGCAGCGATGCTACACTTGGTACGCCGGACTATCCACTTCGATGTGAAATTGTGCTAATTCGCCACTTCACTGTATCCTGAAAGCCTCACAACTGTTAGGCAAGAATGAGCCATGTTACTCCTGAAAACCAAGGACATGAAATAAGTTCAGATCAAACAACTGAATAGGCAAGAGGGAAAGTTCTGCAATCATTCAATCAGATGCTATGTTCAGGCACAACTCCATTCAAGGAAGAAAGCAGTGCAGAAGCATTTCAACCCTCACGTCAATATTTAACAGTTAACACAAATTGTCTAATACCTATCTGAACCTGACGGTCCAACAAGTAAGACTTTATAATCTTAACCAATAGCAAAAACACTAGACAGATAGATAGATAATGGATTGAGCAGAAACAAATGATGGTGCTAAGGACAACCAAACTACCCTATGATTGTACAGTAGAAAACAATCAACACAGAGTACAAACTTGACTCTTCAGCAACTACATCCTTGATTGCTCTGACCATTTTTTGTATTGACATACTTGGAGCAGCTAGCTACATACAAGGCCTCCCTCTACTTCATACAGTCGTCTGCAAACAACATAATCTCACCACAATATGTAGCAATACAACAGGGCTGTCCAGCCTTAAGTTGAGGTATCAAATGCAGAAACTACTTATGGCTGCATCGGTAAAACTCCCCCAAGGATAACACAGAACCAGAAAATAAACTAGTAGTTAGAAAAATCATAGAATTCAGCAGTTTCATTAGCCTAAAGCATGTAAGTTACTAGAACATGAACCATGGAGTGGAAATTAAATATCACAAGCACATCTTTTTCTTGCCAAGCACATAGAATCCAACAGGTGCAATACTTTTCTGAACAGTAATTAACACATCATCAATCTCAAAATTAAGCCATAACCATTAATGCCAATGTACAGAACCATTTAGAAACGAACTGAAGACGATACCTTTTCCTGCTCCCTCCAATTCCCAATCAAGGAATCTAACAAGTTCAGTAGTTTCGTATAAAATTCGCCAGCAGCTCCTTCAGTGTAGCAAGCACTCAAGGCTGTGTCTAGCTCAACTGCCTCACAAACTCTGGCTTCCCACAACAGACTCCTTTTAACAATCCTTCTCAATCCATTCCCAGGTAGCAACCCCTCATCCACCATGTCCCTCAAAACCTTCAAGGAATCAAGAACCAAACCCAGGTTGCAAAACCCATAAACCAAAACCCCGTACACATCCTTTCCTACTTTACAAGCAGAGCCAGGCCTAAGCATCCAATGGTACACTTTCAATGCCTCTTTGGGGCGCTTCCTTCTCATATAGGAAGAGACGAGCATGGAAGCGGTGGGACTTAGATGTGCATGGGCACTTGGGTTGTGCCTTAGGACGGTGAGGACTGACATGGGTTTAGCCATGTCGGGTTCTGAGGTTAGGGAGTGAATGAAAATGGATAAAGAGAGGGATTGGAGAGGTGGGTTTGTAAGGAGAGCTGTTGTCATTAGCTGGATTGCTGTGGGGAGGTGGTTCGTGTTCGAGAGGCATAGGCGCGGGATTAGGAGGTTGATTTTGGTTATTTCTTCATCTGTGAGCGTTGGTTTTTCGTCGGGGAATGTCACCGTGGCAGCTAATGCTGGTACCGTTGAACGCTGCAAAACAGGAGAGTTGGTGATGAATCTCGATTGAAATGTTAGGGCTTTCAGGTGGTTGTATTGTTCCAGCAATTTCATCATCGTCGCCAGGCGATGGAGCTATTCGGCCGAAGAGGATAATTTATTGGGGCCTAATACTTCAATTAATTTACATTATTATATTAATAGCATAAAAATCATTAGTATGTGGGAACCGTTGGGTCAACCGTAGTTGCATATGCATGTATTCCTCCCGCCAAGTTGAACACCCTCTGGAATCCCTGCAAACCCAAAACAAAACGTATATGAGCTATTACTTGTTGGAGGAAACAACAGTATTACCAGTACAAACTAAACTACTCAACCCTATACTAAAACGACTCCGGCTTAGCATCAATTCTAGTATTCTAGCCTACAGATCATAGTAGCAGGCCTCGCCTTTTAAAAGTACCCATAAGCATGAGAAGGGAGTTATGCAAGTACGACTCACGGAGACAAGAAAACAAGTGTTGTTTAGTTGCTACCAGGAAGAAGCTCGAGAGGGCTTATAAATTATGAGGTTATATGTTACCTGACTCTGCAGCCATTTTGCTACCTGTAATGACCGCATCCCATGATGGCACTGCAACATTTAAAACACATCCCTTAGTAGCCTTTTATCCAACAAGGAGTTCGTTCTTATAACTAATGCAAGATATGAAGATATTAGTAGCAGGGAGCTATATAATCAGTGTCTCTACAAATTACTTTTTACCAACTCCAACATTGGAGAAAAGCTTGACTGCTAATTTCCTCAAGCCCTCAGTTTCCCACCCGTACTCGGGAACACATTGAAGCAAAAGCGGTTTATATTTTACAGTATCCTATGGTTACTGCTGAGTGTTGGTGATTGTTAACAATTTTACATGAGTTCTCAACATACCATGCTTGATTATGGAAAACTGGGCAAACCTCAAACACAGCGATAATGTCAAATAGCTTCACACTACCTCAAGTTACATTTGGAGTGTTATGGCATCAGTAACAGTCTGCATGACTGCAAAGCAGACCAGACTCTAAGTGCCCACCTGGCCAACAGTACATATTATACAGATTATCTTTCTCCTACTTGTTGACTTAATGCTTTTTTCATCAGTTTATCATGAAAACTAGAATTCAAATGAATCTGCAAATAGTATGCTGAAAAAGTTCTAGCTCCTGAGATGGGTTAATTGTATGTAAGTGATTCCAGTGCAAGGATATTAGGAAACTATAATGAAAGAGCTATAGCTCATACAGGGCATAAATTTACCCACGTCGGTTTTCAACTACAGGTTATATAAAATTGCTCCATTGATAAAAGCATTAATGACGAGAAATTTTAACAGAATAGCTTGTGGCTACACTAACCAAAACCAATTCATTAAGAGAAGATCTAGAAGTACTCTCAGATTATGTGATTTTTCAAATTGAATATGTAGGTAAGATGATTTTAATATGCTCCGTCAGTTAGAGTCGACATTTTTTTTTTTTGTAAAGTAGCCCTATTCGTCCTTTATTATAAAACAGAAGCCTCACTAATCTTTTAAAGGTCAATGAGGAGATAATATCAAAGGGAAGGATACGACTAAGAATGAATGAGAAGTTAATATCAATACCATAACATATGTGTCCTTCTGCGGATCAAGCTTGGTTGTTATTTCAGGACCCCAAGTTCCAAACTGACGAAGTGGAAAAACTTCAAAACTTGGCAATGATGCTTTGGCCCTGCAAGCAAAAAAAAAAAAAAAAAAAGAGAAAGCAGTTAACATAGAGTACATGGTGATCCTTGCCAAACAAGAAACAACTGTAAATTTAAAGAAGACAACAAAAGCAAACAATGGTGCAAGGGAAAAAGGATATTGATGGGCCAAACATAGCATGCTTAAGCATAAACATATACCAGTCTTAGAATTAATTTGTCGCAGGAAGATTAAAATGATTCACAATTGAGAATATAACATACACTTTCAGATAATTTCTTAACCTAGGTTAAAATCACAAGGTGAGGGATTTGGAAATCCAGCAGAACGAGGGATTTGGAAATCCAGCAGAACGAGGGATTTGGATGAAATCCCTCATCCAAACGACCCCTTGTAATCTGGCACTACTGAATCGATCTTGTAGAATTAGTATTGGATGATGAATTCAATTCAGAGCAACACGGGAACATACACTTCATCAGGTTCTCGGACATCAATCAACTGAACCTCCTCAAGAAACGTTGGATCTTGGAATTTTACATGAAAGTCCTTCGGTTGAATCTCACGAAGCACACATTCTTCTCTGGTATTAAGAGAAAATTAGTAGAAGGAATGAGACAATACGCAACTACAGACAAAAACAGCCAGTGCAAGCATTCCTTCGTATAAAATCAAAGAAGGCATACCTCTCAGAGAGAACTTGCAGCAAATGCCATCCAAATTGAGTTTTACATCTCACAACTTTGTTTAGAGGGGCAGTAAATGCAGCTTCCTCAAATTCGGGGACCTAGTGTACACCATTCATCAAAAGAATGGTTAGGAATTAAAACTGCATACACACAGATTAACTATGCACGCAGTGGACCAAAACATTACTCAGAGGTAAAAACAACTTGGTGGTATAAATATATAGACTTTCTAATCTACAATCCAAGATCACACTGAGTGCTTACCATTTGCCCCTTTTTTACCCATCCAAGCAATCCTCCCTCTTGTTTGGAAGGACAAATTGAGTACTCCACGGCAAGGTCGCCCAAATCCTCTCCTTCAGAAAACAAGAATGGACAAATGTAGTAATTCAATTGACCATTGGGGTGAAGCAAATATCTTGAAGCCATAGCCAAATTATATTCATACAACCAATTTGCATCGGAGAACGGAAACCACAGACCAATTGACATCCAACTACTGTCAAACTCGGGATACCATTGTTCGTTTAAACCAAACACTCTGCAGGTTATCTATATACAATGTGCGTACTAACCTCTTGTAATTCTCCGCTGAATGTCAACCAGAAGATTGGCATCACCTTCTTTGACAAGCAAGTGTTGTACCAGTAATTCCCTTTCAACTCCGGAGCCACTTGCAGGACTCGATAAAGCTGAAGAAACAGGAAAGGTTCAGAAGGAACGGAAGAAAAGGACAACAAGAGCCGAATTCTGAAGTCTACCTCTGGGGTGTGGATGACCCGGCACCATAGGCATGGAGAAAGGGGCCCGATTGAAGGCAAGAGAAGGTCGAGAAGTAAGTGTTCTTCTGCACAAAGGGTTTAAGAGTGGAGGGGGAGAGGCACCGAGTTTACCAAGGTGAGAACAACAATGGAGGGAAGTGAAGGATAGGAACGGAACGAGAGAAGGTCTGAGAGCAGAGACTGTTGCTGCTGCTGGAGATTGAAGACGCGTTGCTCTGAGCATTTTTCCTTGCCAAGTTCAAATCCTATTTTCAGCCTCAAATGTGATTCGAGAATCGAGACTAGAGAAGATTGATTGATTCTTCTTCTGTTCCGCCAAGAGGGACGGCTGTAAAAGAAACAAAGAAACAAAAAACTACGTCAGATTCTCCAATCAAAAAAATAATGCCACAAAATACAGGCCACCAACGTGCCACAAAAAAGCCAAGAGCAGGTGGATCAAAAATGTTGATCGAGAGTCAGGGGAGCTCCATGTTATCAGAAAGTGAAGAACTTAGGGACTTCTTTTGATGAACTCCATAAGGGGTAAAAAAGTTACTGCTTTGAGTATGTACAAAAATGGTGGTTAACAAGATTACTGTAATTTTTTTTTGTTTTTACCATTAGTTGGTCAAACAATATCCATCCTCGAACCAGAAAAAAAAGGTTCTTCTCACTAATTAACACAGTTGCTGAACTCCTCATTTGACAAGAGAAACAGATTGCAACAGAACATTGCAAGGGAAAACTCAAAACTGAAAACTGAGAAGCTCCAAACCAAAATTACCTACGGATGCAGCTTATCAATTGAAGGGGGACTCAACAGAAGAAAAAAGTTCATTCTCCCTGCAATATATTGGACAACTTGCTGAAATTAAAAAAGGAAATCAAAGAACAGCTTCTTGGAACTGGCGGAACGAACAAAAGCTATCCTATGCGTTTTCAGATAATAGAGATCGAGTATCGCAACTTAATCTACAAAGTGAGTCACACAACAACACCCATTTATTAGCAGCCAAACAGCGCGCGCCATTGATGAATTTCAAATGTAAGTGTTCGAACTAGAAATTAAACGATTGAGGGAGGTAGAGACAAGAGAGACCTCACAAGTGGAAGGAGCGAGGACTAGCTCGGTGACTGAGATGACGCGATCTGCAGGAGGTCCAATGGTGAGTGAGTGGCTGGCGATTCTCGAACTAACTCCCTGAAATCGAGTGGGAGGTCCGGCGGCGAGTGTTTGGCGACTGAGTTTAGCAAGAGGTTTGGCAGTGAATGGCGCGCGGTAAGTTAAACGATTTGCATGCGCAGATGAATCGTTGTTTGACGATTTGATTTTTTAGGGTTTCAGATGAGAGCGGAATTTGGAGAAAGCCAAGAGACAAAATAGGACAGTGAAAATCAAGGTTGTCGACCCAGACCCAGACCCGATGAGAAAAACGGGTCGTACACACTCGTCGGGTCGATCACTACAAGGTAAGGATTGGAGGTCAACTAGTATTATTATTTTTATTTGAGAAATGCGCCTATTTTCTTATTTTTCTTTTCACCTAGCTCAATATTTGAAATACTTAATTGAACATTTGAATATTGATGTAATATAAGTATGTGTGAATTTTCACTATATGTTGGATCTAAATACGACATGTTACTTTAGTGTAATTTTATATGTTATTATTCATATGTTAGATTAGATTTGATATCATCTATGAGGATAAGTATAATATAATAACTATTTCCATATTTCCAGACTAAAACGGGCGACTCATTAACCCTTGACCCACTAGGTCGACCGGGTTCGGGTCAACCCACAGGTTGACAACCTTGGTGAAAATTAATTTCCCACTCTCTTCAATTCTGCGTCCCGAGTACCGACCCTAAAGTAAAACAACAAAAAAGGCCGACCCGCCCCGTGGCAGGTCGGGTAATTGATCTCGGGTCACGGGTCGGGGCAGGTCCACCCAATGGGTATGCAATTTATATTAAAAACATTAGTAATATTTGTTATTTTTATTATAAGACTAAGAAAACAAACAATATTATGACAATTGTAGTTAAATTATTGGAGTAATTGAGGTTTTCACTAATTTACAACTTTCTTATAGCTAAAAATATGATGCAATAAAAGGAAAATCCTAAGTAATTCGACTAATATTACATGTAATTTAGACAAGAACGGGTCGAGAATGGGGCGGGTCAGGGCAGGTCGGGTCGATGAAAAGCAGTTGTGTGACCTAAAAGCGTAAAACCGTAAGCTTTTAAGTTTTAAAACGTAGATTTTGACTACATTTATAAGGAAAAATCACGATTCTACGTGGAAGCGTTTTGGTGACCCAAAAAGGTAAAAGCGTAAGTTTTAAAGTTTTAAAGCGCGATTTTGACTGCATTGCATTTGATAAACAAAAGCAAGAACCAAGCAAATTGTGGTTCTTCTGATTGAATCGGTTAAACCCTTGATCAGATACAACTTGGTGGCTCTACTCTGGAATCGGGGAGAGCAGAGGTCAAATATTTCTACACAAACGTACCAAAAGTTTTATGCAAGTCAAAACTGGATCCAATCCATCTAAACTAAAATAACAAGCGATCCTGATACATGTCAAGAGCCTGGATGACCTTCTTGATGAACAGTTTCCGGTGCAGTCGATACCTGTAGGTAGTGTTGCAGGGTTCAACATGGTTAAATCTTCCAAGTTTAACAGCAAAAGGTTGTAAATAATTACTACCAGAAAAACCTACTTGATTGCGGCTTCGAGCGTTCTCCTGGGTTCTGACATTGAATCTGTTTTGTGCAATATAAGCAAATGACATCAGTAAACAGAAGCAGAACAAGAAACAGACACTGCCTACTAGGACCTATTCTGCATGAATCATTGAAACATTTACCTAGCATCTTCTGATCTTGCTCGGATGTAGTGGGGTATTTAGCAAGCATCTGACGGCATTCTTCTTGCAATTCCTTGAAAGCTCTCCTTTCTGAGCTGGGAACGGGGGGCAGATCTCCGTCTGACCAAGTGGGCAGTGTTCTTGCTGCTGCTAAGACTGCTCCATCCACGAAACTCCCCTCACTTCCAGATAGCTCATCTACCGTTCAGAGTGGATCAGCCAAGAGAAACGAGAATCAGTATTTTGGATTCTATATCCACTGAGAATGCAGAACTGTGGAGAAAGAACCAAGATTTCTTACCGTTGTGATAGTATTCATCAGCAAGCCCTGATATGTTGAAGATGGACAAAAAGGAATCCAAATGAATTCGAGCATTGCCAGAGAACTGAATCTCATCCCAAGGATTCTGCAATAATTTGTTTCGATCCTGTTAGTAGTTTTGATCATTTTGTTATGTCTTTTTAAGGGTTAAAAGGGCAGCTTACTTACCACCGGTGATGAGAAGCCGTATCTTTCCATGAACATGTTATTCTTCTGCTGTGGCATGTAGTTAACAGTCATCTGAGAATGTTAAGAAACAAAACCCAAGCATTAAAATATTAAAGAGTGGTTGCTTGTTTGTCACTCAAACTCAGGCAACATGTAGAGAAAACAGAAAAGACAATTAACACCGAGCAGCATATGTAATAAACAAAATCAACCAGGCATTCCGTGGTGGACTCTAAGTAATATTCAGAGACTTTTCTGTTTAGAGTTCAACAAAAGGATAATACTATTCCAAATTTAAGTAGTACCTCCTCTCCTTTTCTGATTTCTTGCCCTGCATTTATCATCACTTCCAGCATTCGATCTTTGAATCGCCAATGGAAGAAGCAGTTGGGCTCTGGTGAATGGTTTAACATATCTGCAAATATTTACCACACGAAAATCCATGCTTTAAAAGACTGCAACAGTTATGCAGGATAGAATACACCTCCAAAGGTATGGGAGCTGAACAAAAACGAAAAAATCACACCAAAAGCATCTAGGTTTTCCCACTCATGATTTCAGAGTTGATTAACTTTCGAAAAAGTCTGTACCCCATTAGGCAGCAAAAACTGAAGACTTATGAAGCAGCTTAACTACATTATATTTCAGTCATACAAAAAAAATCAACTTGGTCATAACATCACTACAGGATTGCACGATCAAGTTGAAGACTTGTCGGAAATTCATATAGCAAGATGGGTGTGATCAAAGAGCCAGAATGTTACCAGCATAAGGTACAAGCATATTTGCATCTTGAACTAGAGCGCCAACCCTCATTTGAATGTTAATGCATCGTGATTGGGCTATGCCAAGTGCCCAAAAGAATCTCTCGGGTTCACGGGCAAGACGCTTTATCTTGAGTGGAACGCCACTATGCTGTGGGATTGAAGAGGCAAACAGTTTGTTATTGAAGCGAGATATGAAGAAGGTATAAACAACTAACTTTGAAGTAGTTAAAAACTTTGTGAGATAGTGGTTCGTCCTACCCAGTTCTTTTCCCAAAATTCAAAAGCTCGAGATTGCTGTTTTCTCATAGCTGATGCAAGATCCTCGTCCTGCAGCTCCAAAAGATCATCCTACATATGTATAGAGGATCATGGGACAGAAACAAGGTCAGTGGACTTCTTCTCGAGCAAGAATAAGAGCAGAGAAACTGCAGGTAAGGAACAGCTGAGTGAACTAAAGAAAAAGGACATGATACATGATATTAGGCATGGTACTATTCTAATTTATAAGTTTAGGAGTGAAAAAATGTTAGGATTCAATTTTGGGTTGTACACCGTGGGAACCTGGTGCGACTTGAAATTCTATTCTGCTTTATAGTCATAACTATAAACTACACTACAACAAACTTTCAAATAAACCACTTAAATAATGTATTGTATGGCAGGCTAGTGAAAAAACTAAAATTGTGTCTCCAATAAATACCGAAGCTTTATCTATGCAAATGGATCAAACATGAGATGGGCACTTCCACACACCTCAGTAGCAAGAAGTAAATTGGTGCACTCTTCTTTACTAGGTAAGAAGTCGCCGTAAAGCTGCCAGAAGTTATCTTTACAATCAAACGAATACAAAAGCAGACACGCCAGCCTCAGGTCCCAATCTGTCTGCCACAAAGAGATATATAACATAAGGAAGAAGCCCACAGAAAACAAGCCATAACAGAGAACCGAAACAATTCCAAGAACTTAAAAATGCAACATAAAACAACAAAAACCGGAGGATCAAAGTTAAATTATGTGAAATCGAAGTTAGCAGTGTCCAGCCGCAAAGTGAGCAATTAAGACAGAAAAAACCAAGATCGAAGTTCAGAACAAAGGTTACCTCTGGATTGGTTGAGTTAATAATATCGAATATTGGATGACCAACCGGTATTATATCAGGGAAGAACATCCAGGGGTGCTTCTTGCTAACTGTGAGCATCAGCTCTAGAGGGATTTCCATGATCATCTGGTCCATACAAACAGAAACCTCCAAATAATTAGACATAGAAACATTCTCCAAAGGGGTGCGTCCCATAAGCACCCCAAACAAAGACATGAATAATTGGCAAATCGACAAACAAAAACCAAAATGGGATAACAATGAACATCACACTGGATGGTAAATATAGCTGAAAGTAGAAGAAACTCACCCTGGGTCGACGAAGGGGTTGCACATCTTTGGAAGCATAAACTCCAAAACCATCAGGCCCTTCTTTGAATTCAATTCCATAAGCACGCATGCTCCGGACATAACCGATTTTGTAGAAGTCAGGGTCTGCTGGTTCCAACTGGTCATATTAGAGAAAGGGATTACATACATACATACTTCGACATAACGGCCATCTATATTCTGGACTGACATGCTATTTCTTTACAAGGAGTACAAAAGAAAGAGTCTTTTCAATCAAATCCCAAATTTAACTTCTCATTATCACAATTCACAAGTGGATGGCATAATAGAAAGTAGGAATTCAGTTCAGAGCTGTTTGCAGCAAGAAAAGCAGAGAGATGAAAATAATGAGGGAAAAGACAGGGTTTATGTTTACCTCGGAGGCTGCTTCTTCGAGCTGGGAAGGTTGAAAGAGAGGAAAGGCAGGTACTTCGACTGAAGAGGCCTTAACGGCTTGCTGGGTGGCTCGAATTCTAGAGCTAGAGTATCTGGCTCTTGTTGTCCGCCATAGTTGCTGCTGGAAGCATTCCTTCTCCTGCTTCATTTTCACAGTATCCAGTTACTGGTGTGAGCAATATTCACCTTTACTTGGGGTGCGAAGAAAGAAAGAGAGAGTACCTGGGATACTGAAAAGCAGCATGCGAGATGATGAAAGGGAACGGAGGAAGCCATTTTTTCAGTCACATTCTACTCTGGTCTCCAAAGTAGGATTAAACGGCAAATTCTATCGCCACTCCGCCCGCCCGGTTCCGGACCAGTTTCCGAAACGTTATCCAACTACGCTCTCGCTCAGGCTCAGCTCACCGCGGGCTAGGTGTGGGCATTCGGTCGGTTCGGTTTCGACCGAACTGAAATTATGAATATCGGGTACTCGAATTCTCCCAAACCTCAAATCGAATTCGAACCAAATTAAAATTTGGTTGGGTCGGTTTAAACCGAATTATAATTCGGTTCAGTCCGGTTTTTCACACAAAACCGAATTTGTGAAGTTACTTGTATTTTCTCACTTTTAAATTATTCTTAACTCTAATATAAACAATAAATATCAATTATATGCATAATCAATGATAAAAGCAAACCTTTCAACACATAAGTCATAAAACATTTCAAATATTTAAGTTTAAAACAACTACAAACATAAAAATTCACCTTTTGGAGCTTGCAATTATAGTATTTTGGTTTTTCGGTAGGAAATTCGGTTCGGTTGAAAGAACCCTGATTTCTGAACTATCCATATTTTCCTTCCGAATTCCGAACCGAATATCATTAATTCAGTTTCGGTTCGGTTCGGGTTTACCGAACCGTTTGCCCACCCCTACCGCGTGCAAGCCTTTCAGACTTATTGGATCAATTTTTTATTAATATTTTCATAGGACCCTAAACTTTGGGTGCGCCTACGGTGACATGCATGTCACGGTGACTTGCACGTTTCGGTCGACCTCAGTTAGGATTAGGTCGACCTAATCGGTTGTTTCAGTGTAAAAACAGTTTCATGATGCCTACTTTGGAGATTCATATCTTACAATTGGCTAGATGGAAATTGGAGATTAATGAGTTGTTTTGAAGCTGGAGTGTCGCTCTACACATTAAAGTACTTGGGAGCTCAATAAGAAGTCCAGAACACCAATTTTGAACCTGATCAAAAGGCTATGCCAAAACTTGGAAATTTCCTGAAAATGGCTAAGTCTGGGAACGTGTTTGTAAAGCCTACTTTGGAACTCAATTCGAGAAGCATGGATGTGAATCGAGTCCAGTGGTCTCTACCACGTTAAATTAGGTATGTTTTTATACAAAGTCAAGTCATTGGATCAAAGATTGGATATCTGTAAGGCTTCAAACCAGAGGGTCGAAGTTGCTACGAAGACTGTTTTTCTGGCAGACTTCGAGCACAAACAAGCTGCCAGAAAAACAGCCTTCGTAGCAACTTCGACCCTCTGGTTTGAAGCCTTACAGATATCCAATCTTTCATCCAATGCCTTGAGTTTGTATAAAAACATACTTAATTTAACGTGGTAGAGGCCCCTGGACTTGATTCACATCCATGCTTCTCGAATTGAGTTCCAAAGTAGGCTTCACAAACACGTTCCCAGACTTAGCCATTTTCAGGCAGTTTCCAAGTTTTGGCATAGCCTTTTGATCAAGTTCACAAATGCATGTCACCGTAGCAAAGTCTCTAAACTTTACCCTAATTTAACAATTTGGTCAATCTTTTAACTAATTTCTATCTTATTTATACTATTATAAAAATAACTTATTTGATCCAACCGAAAGTTAACCGTTAAGTTAGACTATCAACTTGTCATGTCACTGTTTTATCAGCACAAATAACCATAAATAATTCATACACCACATATTATCTAATTTTGTATTTTTAATTAAATTAAAGCATAAAACTAAACATAAAAAATGGGAGTGGCTAATTGTCGCCCTAATTTATTGTAATCGTCCTAACTTATAAATTGTTATTACCCTTTTACCCATCTCTCCTTTTATTGTTAAGAAATAAAAAACACAATTAATCAAAACAATTTCACTTAACCATTTCCACCACAGCCGATCTTAACCCCCGCCGGTCGCCACTATTTCAATCAGAAGGATAACTTATCGGGAACAGTGCAATCGGGGCCGGGGCTTCCACTATTACATAATCGGCCAACACGTTTCATATTGGATTAAGATGCTAAAAAAAGAAAATCGAACTCAATATAAAAAGAAGTACATAAGTTGACGGGCCAATGGAAAAGCTTCTTTCCATGGTGCATAAATTCATGATAAAAATGGCGTAATTTGGTTAAGGGGCGAGGGAGTGAGATGCGAAGAACAGGGGAGCGATGGATTTTCGGAATTGGCTTGGAGGTGGTTATCCGTCATCGTCATGGTGCATTTTTTGAGGAGAAGGGTGTAGGCGACGGCGAGGAGAAGTAACGATGGCCGGATTGTAGGGATGACGGCGCCAGAGGGTGTTTGGAGAGGAGTATGTGTTGTTGAAAGAGGATAAGGGGTTTTTTTTTTAATTTGGTTTGATTAATGAAGGACAATTTAGTATTTTTATGTTTTATTTTAGGACGATAATAGTAAAATTAGGGCGACGTTTAGCCATTCAGTAAAAAAACTGGCATGGAGGTCTCTGTTGAATTTCAAAACTCTAACTTTGAAATATGTGGTATTTCAAAATGTGGAATTTAAGAAAAAAAATTAATGATGACATGGAAGGTATCTGCCATGGAGGTCTCTGTTGAATTTCAAAACTCTAATTTTGAAATATGTGGTATTTCAAAATGTGGAATTTCAAAAAAAGTAAAAAAAAATTTAATGATGACATGGAGGTTCCACCAAGAGCACATGTAACTTCAAGGTTTTTATAGGAAATTATTCATTTCATCACAAAACATGAAGGTTGGATCATTCCTTATAACCTATGGATCTCTAACCTGATTTGTCAATATGAGTTTTATCTAAGGTATTACATCATCCCTCAATGGTATTTAACGTCCTTGTAGAAGTTTGCCCCAACCAACATTCAAGATGGACGCATAAAGGTTCTAATAGAACGTGTACATCTTTGCCCTACCTCCGCTTTGGGTCTAATCTCGGCTTTGCTTTTAAATACATCATGGTGACTTCTCAAGAGGTCACACATCTCTTCACTGCATGTTTAACTTCAGAGTTCTTATAATCATCCCAAAATGTGTCTTCTCAGTTGAGTTTGAATTATTTTTATGACTCATGTATCTCTTTTGTACTTTGTATATATTAGATTTGTCTAAAATGTTACATTGCACCTTCTTTTTCCTGCATTTCTTAATGATTGAGATTGTTGTTTTTCGAATATAAACTCGACCTCTTACAAAATGAGTACAAGTATCGAATTTTTCGTCCCAACCTGCGCATGGCATTCCTACCCTTAATCATTTCATCCCGCTAAATATTTTTGGCCCATGGGCTAAATATTGGCTCGCGCCCTGGCCACTCTGACCCCTTTTCGTTGACCAAAACCGAATAAAATCAAAAGCCCGCTTCTTCCTTTTGTCTTCATAATCCCGCGCCTTCAAATTAAAAAGCAACCGACCTATTGCGGGTTGGATCCTGTCCTTAAGTCTAAAACTTAAGGAGTTTCTTAAGTTTTTATTGGCCAATAAGAGAAGGAGAGAGAAAGTGAGGTCTAACCATCTAAAAGTGCAAATAAGGTATATTAATTAAATATTACTATTTAATAGTTAATGAAATTCGGAATTGAAATGTAAATTCGTAATTAATATTTAAAGCTTTAAAAAAGGAAATTCAAAATTCAGAATGTCTATACTCTCTTCCCGTGGCAACTTTTAATAAAATTATTAACATTTGCAATTCCATTATCAATTTTTAAGAAATGAATTATTATTTATATACGACATCATTGTTAACAATATCAGTATATACTTATCAATGTTTTACGATTACATTATTAATGATTTTAGTTCAATTGCTAACTTTTACATCGTTGACGTTTTGGAATCAACTGATATTGGTTTACATTGTCGTTTATATCGATCATATATCATACCACTTATTTTTAACATCTTTGACATCTATAACATATTTCATCTGTGATTTAGTCAACCAAACATTAGTTAATGGAGGTGTAAAACATCAATAAAGCAAACCAATATTCGATCATATATCATCCAAAACATACATATGAATGTTGTATTTCATTCAAAACTAAAACAACAATATTAACTATGATGTATTTATCATTGAAAAATGATATCAAGCTGATAATACGAATACTGAAGACCGTTAATAATGAATGAGCAAGTCATTGATCATGAAACTGAATTTCGTTGAAAACCAACATAAAATTATTAATAATGTCCAAATAACATCATGTATTCTATTCAAAATAATATTGTATTTCATTCAAAACTAAAACAAAAACGTTAATAATAATTGGCACATTATTATTAATAGTTTGAATAATAATGTGAAGCCTAAAACTTATGTTTTCATCATCAAGAAGTAACTATTAAAGTTATGTCATATTATTATTAACACTTTGAATAATTTTATCATTGATTTACAATATTTTTATTAACGATTCATGTTTGCACATTATGTCCATAACTAGTCAATCATGGCTTTTACAATGACTTGTAATGATATTATTAACTTTTTGTAATTAATTATTAACGATTTACATTGTCATTCTTAGCGTGTATGAAGTTAATTTTTATCCATCATTGTTAACGATTCTCATCATTTTTTATCGTAAACCTCTCAACGTGCGCAACAACATATCACCGAGTGGGAACCACCATTCTGAGCTCCACCGTGGATAAGCCTCGATGACATCCCCGTATCCACCAACGCCTCTGACGGGAAAAGATCCATGAACACGGAGGGAGTTGACTCGCGAGGAGGAAAATCAGCACAGTCTCGCCTGGTGGTGGTTGCTGGAAGTATCGAAGCGGCAGCAAAAAAAAAAAAAAAAAACCACCGCCGGCGACGAAAAGCTTGTGGCGGTGGATTTTGTGGCTTTTGACATCCTTCACAATGGCAAGGGCGCCAATTGAGAGGGATTGGGGGTAATTGATGAGTGCAGTCCTAATTATTGGCTTTTTCATTAATTAATATCATTAATACCCTAATTATTCTTAACGGTCAATAACTACTAGCAATCTATTAACCGCCTAAATTTTCATCAACCAATAAGAATGGTTTAAGATAATTCTTAACTTAGTAGGCTTAAGGACCTGAACCTATCCCGACCTATTGCAGCGCGCCGGTTTATCTGTCCAATTTCTTCGACGTCGATCTTTTCGAGTCCGGTGGTGTGTGCATAAAACGACAATTGCTTCCTAATCACTCTACCCTACTCTTTGATCCGCCGCCGTCTCCTTGTTCTTTAGTTGTCTCCACTCCAGAATTCCACTCAAAAAGCTCCAATGGAGGACGCCGCCTTCCCACTTCACCGGGAAGAGAAACCAGAAACAGATCGATTCTTCGATTCAAAACTACTTCATTTTCTGATCGTGGCTTTTTTGTTTGTTTTGAGCGGCCTTTTTGTTTCTGTTCTTGTTGGGACTTCTCCTTTCCCCTCCATTGATGATCAGGGCCTTCGCCACTTTCCCCTCTGCGTGCTTTTTCCGGGTTTTATGCTGGTGTTTTTTAAGAGTTGGATGAGTTAATTGAATTCTTGGAGGTACTACTGTGCGTCTGTGCGTGGGTTCTTTCTCACAGATCTGTTGACCATTTGCTCTTTGGAGCAGCAGCCAAGTTCCGAGCATTGAGCAACAATGCAAAACATGAGATGAAGTATGATGTTGGCAATGTTGCGTATTTGACAGCCAGTTCATTTACCATTCCTTCAAATTGTTCAAGCCTTTTTCCTTTAAAGCTCACACAACTCTAATGCTCTAAAGTACACTCCTTTAGATTTAGGGAAACTTAACCTGACCTAACTTTAGACCTCTAATAGTCTAATGTGCAAACGAACTCGTACATCAAAAGATGTTCCTCAAGTTTTCTGCATGTTGGTTCCCTGGGTCCTACAGTCAGTGGGAGAAGAATATGCGATCAGTTGCATGAAAATATCTTCAATGTTGTTACTCTTGTTGTGGATGTTATTTGACAGCATTGGATAGGTTTCTACTCTTTAGTAACACATTGTTACTTGTGATGACTCTTTATAGCATGTGCTCCCTGAAATCATTGATGTTGATGAGTATGATATTCTCACCGATGTCATGATCCTGGACGAGAACTTTCACAAAGACAAGAAAGGCAAAGTGATCAAGGATGAGAAAGTTGTCAATGGTGTGAAAGATGAGGTATACCAGTACATATTGACCTCCAACTCACGCTATAGCATCATCTCCAACTCACCTCTATATGTCATTGGACTCGATTGTCAGGATGTAATCTATGTACCTCCTCCCTTCTAGAAGTCTACATCAACTACGCCTGATGTGAAGAAGCGGAACCATACTTCTATAGCAAGCAAAAGAGATGCAGGTAGGAAGGGACCAACGCTTCCAAGGTCTGCACGTATTGGTACATCTGCACATCTTAATTTCTTTGTTCTGTTCAACCATCCTATTTTTCATATCTAAAGAGTAGACTGGAAGTGAACCGCACATGGATTATCAATTCTCATTATCGGCATATGCCTCATGCAGAAGAACAACCTGGAGCTCCAAGTGATGAAAGTTTGAGGAAGTTGAAACTCTTCAAGCGTTTCGACATCGTTGAAGGCCATTCAGACCATCACTTTAAGTCTTCTTCGTCGGTACAGGTGACTATTTGTTAACTTATTGCTTCTTGGCTTTGTAAGGACGCTTCAAATAGGTTTTTTTCTTCCAATGCTGTCCAAACCAATCCTTCGTGACATAATCTATTGCAGTTTTTATGTTTAAATTCCTTTTTTGTTCTGCCAGACTTCGTAGAAGTGGGCAAAATGAATTCAAGACGAGTGGAGAATTCTGGAGAAAAATTTGCAAAATGAATCATTCACGGGAACAATTTGGAATAGAACAACATTAAAGAGTTGCGGGTCATGCACAAAAAGGGGAACCGAAACTCCCTTCCCGTACCAGATGTTGTGCTGCTCTTCTAGCTTTTACTCAGCCGACAAGCATCAATTCAAAGAACAACATAAAACTATGGATTTTCACATCAGATCAAGGTCCAACTGCTCCTCCTTTCGTTGCCTGCAGCGATGCTACACTTGGTACGCCGGACTATCCACTTCGATGTGAAATTGTGCTAATTCGCCACTTCACTGTATCCTGAAAGCCTCACAACTGTTAGGCAAGAACGAGCCATGTTACTCCTGAAAACCAAGGACATGAAATAAGTTCAGATCAAACAACTGAATAGGCAAGAGGGAAAGTTCTGCATTCATTCAATCAGATGCTATGTTCAGGCACAACTCCATTCAAGGAAGAAAGCAGTGCAGAAGCATTTCAACCCTCACGTCAATATTTAACAGTTAACACAAATTGTCTAATACCTATCTGAACCTGACGGTCCAACAAGTAAGATTTTATAATCTTAACCAATAGCAAAAACACTAGACAGATAGATAGATAGATAATGGATTGAGCTGAAACAAATGATGGTGCTAAGGACAACCAAACTACCCTATGATTGTACAGTAGAAAACAATCAACACAGAGTACAAACTTGACTCTTCAGCAACTACATCCTTGATTGCTCTGACCATTTTTTGTATTGACATACTTGGAGCAGCTAGCTACATACAAGGCCTCCCTCTACTTCATACAGTCGTCTGCAAACAACATAATCTCACCACAATACGTAGCAATACAACAGGGCTGTCCAGCCTTAAGTTGAGGTATCAAATGCAGAAACTACTTATGGCTGCATCGGTAAAACTCCCCCAAGGATAACACAGAACCAGAAAATAAACTAGTAGTTAGAAAAATCATAGAATTCAGCAGTTTCATTAGCCTAAAGCATGTAAGTTACTAGAACATGAACCATGGAGTGGAAATTAAATATCACAAGCACATCTTTTTCTTGCCAAGCACATAGAATCCAACAGGTGCAATACTTTTCTGAACAGTAATTAACACATCATCAATCTCAAAATTAAGCCATAACCATTAATGCCAATGTACAGAACCATTTAGAAACGAACTGAAGACGATACCTTTTCCTGCTCCCTCCAATTCCCAATCAAGGAATCTAACAAGTTCAGTAGTTTCGTATAAAATTCGCCAGCAGCTCCTTCAGTGTAGCAGGCACTCAAGGCTGTGTCTAGCTCAACTGCCTCACAAACTCTGGCTTCCCACAACAAACTCCTTTTTAACAATCCTTCTCAATCCATTCCCAGGTAGCAACCCCTCATCCACCATGTCCCTCATAACCTTCAAGGAATCAAGAACCAAACCCAGGTTGCAAAACCCATAAACCAAAACCCCGTACACATCCTTTCCTATTTTACAAGCAGAGCCAGGCCTAAGCATCCAATGGTACACTTTCAACGCCTCTTTGGGGCGCTTCCTTCTCATATAGGAAGAGACGAGCATGGAAGCGGTGGGACTTAGATGTGCATGGGCACTTGGGTTGTGCCTTAGGACGGTGAGGAGTGACATGGGTTTAGCCATGTCGGGTTCTGAGGTGAGGGAGTGAATGAAAATGGATAAAGAGAGGGATTGGAGAGGTGGGTTTGTAAGGAGAGCTGTTGTCATTAGTTGGATTGCTGTGGGGAGGTGGTTCGTGTTCGAGAGGCATAGGCGCGGGATTAGGAGATTGATTTTGGTTATTTCTTCATCTGTGAGCGTTGGTTTTTCGTCGGGGAATGTCACCGTGGCAGCTAATGCTGGTGCCGTTGAACGCTGCAAAACAGGAGAGTTGGTGATGAATCTCGATTGAAATGTTAGGGCTTTCAGGTGGTTGTATTGTTCCAGCAATTTCATCATAGTCGTCAGGCGATGAAGCTATTCGACCCAAGAGGATGAATTTATCCGGGCCTGAGATTTCAGTTATATTTGCTATTTTAAACGCTATCAGAAAGATTATCATTAAGCTCTCGTAGCTCAGTTGGTTAGAGCACCCGTTTAGTAAGCGGGAGGTCTTGAGTTCGACTCTCAACGAGAGCAAATTTTTTATATATTGTTAAGCTTTTTGGAATAATCGGGCCTGAATGATTCTGAGCCCAGAGCAAGTTCAACCTTTGGGCCCAAAGTAAATTTATCAGGTTTTATGCTTAGGCCAATACTACGGTGCCGGTGTAAAAAGTGCGGCACCGGTGACGCACTTTCTTATTGGGCCATGTGGATCTGATGTGGCATTGGTTGATTATGTACAATTCGAACCAAACCGATTGGGCCATGAGAACTGGCCAAACAGCAGCCAGGTGACCAAACGGACAGCAAGGTCTCCGTTTTCCACTTTTCCCATTAATTTCGCACGCCATATTGCAAATCCGTTCAAAATCACCAAGTTGTGTCTCTAACTACTCATCCTCCGTCGACATCGCACCTCCGGTCACCTCCCTGCCTCCTTGCTCATCAAATTTAGATCGTCGGGAATAGCAGTTACCACTTGGCGGACCTGTTCTTCGCCGGCCACATCTCTCCTCTCCAGAACCCGAAAAAATAGACCAGCGTCGATCTCTGTGAAGGATATGGCGACGCTGATGTTCCTGGACGGAGGGAAAGAAACCGGCGCATGTGTGGCGCGGTGGCTCGTTTCTTGCGGAAGAGATGTGGTTTATTTGTTTAAACTTTAAAGTCAGATCGAGTTAAAGCAGGCGCCATTTGTGACTGGCCGGAAATTCTCGGTAATTTGTGAAGCTGGGTCACGAAGAGAAGTCGCCGGAGAAGAAGCGTTGCCTATCAGTGGCGCAGGTAGTCAATTCATATCAATGGTGAATTTGGGTTGGGATATTGAATCAAATTCACTTGATTTCGAAGACAGTTCAGGGGTATAGAACCTTTGTCTACTGCAAGATCAAACAATCATCATAGACGGACACTATATGCTTTCCGATCAAACTCCGACGAAGCCTCCCCTGGTGTGACATTAATAGCTGACATAATTGCAATGTAAACTCTGGATTTCATTCTAATACACAAATGTCTAAAAATAGAAACTCATGATCTATTAAATTCTCAAAAAGATTAAAAAACTCAAATCACAGCACATATTGTTGTAGTCTTGGATCGTAATCCCCTTAAAAGCTAACCTTTTTCTCTAGTGCTAATTTTCAGCCTCATTGAATGCAAGGGTAATTTGAATTTCGCGAGAAAAGAGCCACCGCCACGCATGCACCCGTTTCTTTCTCTTCGTCCAGGACCAGCAGCGCCACCATATTCTGACAGATATCAACGCTGGTATCATGCCGGGATCTGGAGCGGAGAGATGTAGCCGGTGAAGAACTGGTCCGCCGAGTGGTAACTGCGATTCTCGACGATCTAAACTTGATGAGCAAGGAGTGGGGGAGGTGACCGGAGGTGCGATGTCGACGGAGGATGAGTAGTTAGAGACTCAACTTGGTGATTTTGGACGGAGTTGCAACAGGAAATTGAATCAAAGCGTGAAGTGCACCGTTAGGAATTAATGGTAAAGGTGGAACACGGAAAAATTTTTGTCCGTTTGATCACCTAGCGTCTCGGCCAGTTCTCATGGTTCGAATTGTATTACATCAACCCATGCCACGTTAGATCCACATGGCCCAATAAGAAAGTGCGTTACCGGTGCCGCACTTTTTATGGTGGCACTGTAGTATTAGCCTTATGCTTATGGTTTAAGCCCATCAATCCTGGTTGCTGAGCCCAAATCAAGTGTAGCTATACTTTTATTTACCTAGTTCATTTGATTTCCCGCAGAAGTGTAGCAAAGAAGATAGAAACTAGGGGGCGAAAATTTGGGTATGGTAAGTTGGTAACTTATGGGTGACGTCATCCCAATTTCTCATCATGAGTGTAATTACAATCTAGGGTTGCATGGATGCCTTTTTTGGAGCTTGTTTATGCGGGCGTAGTATGTGAGTTGGTTATCTTGAAAGAACAATTTATTGGAAGCAAAGTTCAATGGCTGAATATGTCAAGTGCTGCCTAACTTGCCACATGATAATACACCAAAATCATCCATCCCCATTTACCCAAGTTGAACTTACAAAAGCTAGGCAAATTGGTAAAAAGAAGCCATGAACATTGGGCAGATGATGGGTACTAGAGTAAACTATTAGTAAGTGGGAACCGTTGGGTCGACCGTGGTTGCATATGCATGTATTCCTCCCGTCAAGTTGTACACCCTCTGGAATCCCTGCAAACCCAGAGCAAAACGTATATGAGCAATTACTTGTTGGAGGAAACAACAGTATTTCCAGTACCAACTCAACTACTCAACCCTACACTAAAACGATTCCAGCAGCTTAGTGTCGATTCTACCCTACAGATCATAGTAGCAGCCATTGCCTTTTAAAAGTACCCATAAGCATGAGAAGGGAGTTACGCAAGCACGACTCAGAGACAAGAAAATAAGTGTTGTTTTGGTGCTACAGAGAAGAAGAAGAAGCTCAAGAGGGCTTATAAGTTGGTTATATATTACCTGACTCTGCAGCCACTTTGCTACCTGTAATGACCGCATCCCATGATGGCACTGCAATATTTAGGACACATGTCTTATTAGTTATTAGCCTTTTCTCCAATATGGAATTCGTTCTTACAACTAATGCAAGATATGAAGATATTAGTAGCAGGGAGCTATATGATCAGTGTCTCTGCAAATTACTTTTTACAAACTCCAACATTGGAGAAAAGCTTGTCAACTATGCTAATTTCCTCAAGCCCTCGGTTTCACACTCGTACGTAGGAACACATTGAAGCAAAAGCGGTTTATGTTTTACTGTATCCTAAGGTTACTACTGAGTGGTGGTGGCTGTTAACAGTTTTACATGAGCTCTCAACATACCATGCTTGATTATGGACAACTGGGCAAACCTCAAACATAACAATAATGTCAAATAGCTTGACACTACCTCCAGGTTACATTTGGAGTCTTATTGCATCAGTAACAGTCTACGTGACTGTAAAGCAGACCAGACTCTGCGTGCCCACCTGGCCAACAGTAAATATTATACAGATTCTCTTTCTCATAATAGTTGACTTTATACTTCTTTTCATCAGTTTATCAAGAAAACTAGAATTCAAATGAATCTACGAATAGTATGCTGAAGAAGTTCTAGCTCCCGAGATGGGTTAATTGTAAGTAAGTGAATCCAGTGCAAGGATATTAGGAAACCATAATGAAAGATCTATAGGTCATCAATTTACCCAATTCGGTTTCAACTAAATGTTATGTGTAATTGCTCATTGATAAACGCATTAATGATGATAAATTTTAACAGAATAGCTTGTGGCTACACTAACCAAAACCAAATCACTAAGAGAAGAGCCAGAAGTACTCTGCAGATTATGTGATTTTTAAAATTGAATATGAAGGAAAGATGGTTTTTATCTGCTCTACCGGATAGAGTTAACATTTTTTCCCCCTTGTAAAGTATCCTTATTCATCATTTATTATACAACAGATGCTTCCATAATGAAGAGATAATATTAAAAGGAAGGGTACAACTAAGAATGAATGAGAAGAAATATACATACCATAACATATGTGTCCTTCTGAGGATCAAGTTTGGTAGTTATTTCAGGACCCCAAGTTCCAAACTGACGGAGTGGCAGAACTTCAAAACTTGGCAATGATGCTTTGGCCCTAAAACCAAAAGTAAAATAAAACAAGAATGAAGAAAGCAGTTAAACATAGAGTACATGTTGGATCCTTGCCAAACAACTATAGATTTAAAGAAGCCAACAAAAGCAAACAATGGTGTGATGAAAAAAGCATACATATGGTCCATACATAGCATGCTTAAGCATAAACAGATATCAATCTTAGAATTAATTTGTCACAGGAAGATTATAATGATTCACAATTGAGATTTCATGATTTTAGAATAGTTGTTCATAGTAGCTCATGTAAGATTGTCACTTGTCAATCAAGGACAACATAACATACACCGTCTGATAATTTCTTCATTTAATTAGTTATTCAAATTGATCATCGGTTAAAATCACAGGGTGCGGGATTTGGACGAAATCCCTCATCCAAACAACCCTTCTAACCTCGCAGTACTGAATCGATCTTGTGGAATTAATAGCGGAAGATGAATTCAACTCAGAGCAACAAGGGGACTTACACTTCATCAGGTTCTCGGACATCAATCAACTGAACCTCCTCAAGAAACTCTGGATCTTGGAATTTGACATGAAAGTCCTTCGGTTGAATCTCACGAAGCACACATTCTTCTCTGGTATTAAGAGAAAATTAGTAGAAGGAATGAGACAATACGCAAACATAGACGAAAAAGCCGCTGTAAGAATTCCCCTGTAAAGTTTCAAGAAGGCGAACCTCTCAGAGAGAATTTGCAGTAAATGCCATCCAAATTGTGTTTTACATCTCACAACTTTGTTTAGAGGGGCAGTAAATGCAGCTTCCTCAAATTCAGGGACCTAGGGTACATACAAGAATGGTTAGGAAGTAAAGTTACATACACAGATTAATCCAAGACCACAATGATTGCTTACCATTTGTCCCCTTTTCACCCATCCAAGCAGTCCTCCCTCCTGTTTGGAAGGACAAATTGAGTACTCAGCGGCGAGGTCACCCAAATCCTCTCCTTCAGAAAACAAGAATGGACAAATGTAGTAATGCAATTGACCATTGGGGTGAAGCATATATCTTGAAGCCATATCCAAATTACATTCATACAACCAATTTGCAATGGAGTGCAGAATCCACAGACCAATTGACATCCAACTACTGTCGAACTCGGGATACCATTGTTCGTTTAAACCAAACCCTCTGCAGGTTATTGATATACATGTGTGAACTAACCTCTTGCAATTCGCCGCTGAAAGTCCACCAGAAGATTTTCATCACCTTCTTTGACAAGCAAGTGTTGTACCAGTAATTCCCTTTCAACTCCGGAGCCACTTGCAGGAGAGGATAAAGCTGAAGAAGCAGGAAAGTTCAGAAGAGAGCCCTAAACAAAGAAGGAACGGAAGAAAAAGGATAGCAAGAGCCGAATTCTGAAGTTTACCTATGGGGCGTGGACGACCCGGCACCATTGGCATGGAGAAAGAGGCCCTATTGTAGGCAAGAGAAGGTGGATAAGTAAGGGTTCTTCTGCACAAAGGGTTTAAGAGTGGAGGTGGAGAGGCACCGAGTTTACGAAGGTGAGAATAACAATGGAGGGAAGAGAAGGTTTGGAATGGAACGAGAGAAGGTCTGAGAGCAGAGACTGTTGCTGCTGCTGGAGATGGAAGCCGCGTTGCTCTGAGCATTTTTTCTTGCCAAGTTCAAATCCTATTTTCAGCCTCAACTGTGATTCGAGACAGACTTTCATCAGTAGTGTATTAGAGAAGATTGATTCTTCTTCTGTTCCTCCAAGTTCTGATCGACGATGAAGACAATGGAACACCAATGGCTAATGGGCCGGCTGGGTAGCCAAGCCCACCATGCTCTTCTTCTATTACCTTCATGCGGCCCAAATTCATATGAGGCCCACTGATTCTTTCTAAATCCCATTGCTATGCCTTCGTTGGCAAAATAGGACACAGCCACAAAGGTAGTAGCAGCTCTATTCCTCTTCGTTATCTACCGATATAAATCAGTGTTCGCGAAAGTGTATCATACTGGCGGTCGGATCAGCAAAGCACCTTCCAGTTTTACAATTGTGGAAAAGTTGAGTATTGTTATACCATGATTTACACACAAAATAATGTAACACTGAATGTTCCGCTAGATACGATTTTAGAATCTTTGATATAAATACGTGCAGAGAAGATGAGTCAGGTAGGATTTAGCCGGTGCAAACAAGCCCATATGAATCTCACTGCATCGCCCGCCGGCTTTAACAAAGAAAAACGTGTGCTAGCACACAGACTGACTTTTTTTGGCGATAACATTGTTTTATTCCTTTCAACTTTCTTCTGCTATTTGGTCACGATCACAATAATGAGTCCTTATTTCATCGACCCCTTCAGCTGCATCTATACCTCAACCATGCTATATACAGGAGGAACCCAAATAGGAAAGAAGGGTAATGAAAACTGTGGCCGAGATGCAGGACTATCGGTCTTGTTCTTGAGTCAAACTCTGTATTTCTTTTCCTTCAAACTTTGATCATCTATCAATAACCAGACATGTCCATATGCATGGTTCCCAAGCACGAGATGCTGTTTGTGTGTATGAGAAAGTGAGCAGCGTATTGCTTCAGCAGCAGTTGCAATGTAAATGAGAATGTCAGTACTGATCTGGGAGCTAAGTACACTAGCTAGCTAGCTAGCTAGCAGCAGAAACCATCATGCAGGAAGTTAAATCATGACTTACAAGTTACAACATTCTTATGCCTATGCGTTCTGTCGTAGAGGCTGAGATTCGTTAGGAAAGCGAATAGCACTAGTGTTGTCGTGGTTATCGAGTGGCATGTACTGTGACATGATAGCCATGATCTCTGAGTCCATGTAAGACTGCAACAAAAAAAAAAAAAAAAATCAAGTCAAGATAAAACACTTAGCGATGCTGCAGAATCCAACGATTGAACAGACCCTGGGAATCAAAACCAGAAGTCTAGTTTAGATGATGAATACCCTAAGTCTGTATTTGTAGAATATATAACCAGCAAGGCCAACTCCAGCCACCACTGCTAGGATCACAAATGTGAGAAACCATCCAATTTTGGATCCATTCCTTTCTGCAGAATTAGCAAGAGAAGCAATTAACAAGTTAGCAGTTTTGACTCTGCACACACAAATCAGCTTATATATGGTATCTAGGTTTTTGTTGTCTCACCAATGCAGGCATCCAGCTCCTTCATGTAGAGCAGGTCACCTTTGCACTTGCACTCATATCCACCCCAAGTGTCCTTGCAGGAGCAGCCATCACATTGACAAGCACTGCCTTCCTTGCATTCGTCGATATCTGATAGATAGTCGAGCAAAAGGGAGGGGAACATTTAGGATGCAATGCAAGGAGAAATTCTGGAGACGTTAAACGATGAGTGTAAGAAGAAGATTCATTACCTTCACAATGCTGGCCGTCCCCACGGAAACCAAGTGGACACTGACAGCCTGATATATTCGAGTCCTGTTTCGATAGAGAAGAAGTTTAGTATTGTTTAGTTTCCAATTCATTCAGGGCAACAGATAAAGGAGACCAACACAGGACAGGTGAATTTGATAATGTAAACTGAAAGCATGACTGTATGAAATGAATGAAAAATCACCCAACTGAGCAAGCTGAGAAACTTGATCCATGTCTCGATTCTGACCAGCACCCTCCATTGTTTATTGCACATCTTCCAGGCCCAAATGCTACGGAATGAATTCTAAAGGTTAGTACGCTTGCTGCATTTTCTGCTTGGAATTGTTCCAGAGTAAACTAATTAAGGCCATACCTACACAAGATAAGTAACCATCCCCTTTGTACTGAACCCCATTCGCAGCCGGACACTCGCAAACCCTTCCTCTAAACGTATCCTGAGAGGGAAACAAGCAGCAAACCAGACTGTTCAAAAATCTAGTCTAAACAAGGAAATGTCATAACCAATCAACCACGTCCTCAAATCAGACCTTGCAAGCTGTCAAGTTAGATGCAGTGTCCTGCCAACAACCTCCATTCCCTTCCAGGCACTCGTTAGTTTCAAGACCTGCCATCATAATAGCAAAAGCAAGAGAATAAGATTGAGACATAATGGCAGAGAAACTCTATTTCCTAACTGGGTCAGATTCTCTTTACTTGGACTTAAACAGATTGGTGGTTCTGTAGATTCTTTAAACCCAGCACATACAGCTTTCAGCACAGCGGTTCTCTCCAATTTCCCTTTTTTCGGAAATCAGAAAGTAATCAGTATTCACACTGACTAAAAAAAAACTATAAACTGTCTACAATGACATCAATATATAAAAAAATAAAAATAAAAATTTGTTGAAAGGTACCTCTGTATTGTGCATTGTTTATCACAAGAGTTGGTAGTATCGTTACATCACCTCGCCCTCCTTGCCCGATCTGGATTGGATCCCAGTTAGCCATATTAAAATTGTTAAGTGCAACCACTGCAACAAGCTAACCATTCTCAGGAAGGTGAAGGGTTACAAACAAACCTGTCGTTCTTGCTCAACCTTCAACACTTGATTCTCAACATCAGCCTCAGGATCGCCCATACACTTCTTAATCTTATCAACTGGCAACCCTGTAACGTGTTTGTGTACATCACCATAAGATCAACCGAACTGAACTCAAGTCAACGTCGCACCGTCCGGGAAAGAAATAAGTCAACGGGAACTCACCTAGCGATTTCATGACATCCTCTGCACATTCCTTGCTGTACCTCTTCTTCTTCATGGAACACCTGATGTGGAAATCGGTGACATAGTCCCACCAAACCCAGGACCGCCCTGTCTCGTTCGTGGTTCGGTGAACGCACAGCTGCCGCAGATTCTCAAACACCACGTCCTTCCCCTGATACCCTCCGTCGAAATCCTGCTCCGGGTCCGGAGCGCAGTACCTGCCGTTGTTGATGCACTGGGATTTGCACTGGCTGCTGAGCACGAACGCCGGCGGGCAGTACCAGGTGATGTAATGCGGAGTGAACAATGTGTACCCGCCTCTCTCCAGAATTTGGGCGTGCCCTTTGAAATCCTTGACGAATTCCATCTGCTCGTCGCACCTCACGCCGCATTCGTCGTTGCTGTTCGTCCACAGCTCGTATTCTACTCTCTGGTCTGGATGCGGCATCGACTCCCTCCAATCCATCTTGATCAACACTTCTTCTTTCTCCTCTTTGAGAGCCTGCTTCAAGCTGTCGGCGAACGACTTGTCGATTAGAGCCGATGGGATCCGGATTTTCTCGACGTAGCCGTCCGCGTCGCCGCTGGCTTCAGGGGAATCCATGGTGATTAAGGGCTCGTCGATTGTGTCCGCCACAAGAACTGCAGCTGCTCCCGCTTGCTGCGCGTTCCACACCTTCAATGCGAAATAGCAGTCTGCAATTTGTTCGTGCAATTGAATGGAATGAATCAAATTCACGAGGGGAAAAAACTTGTCAAAACAGGGGAACTCCCCTGTTTTCTTCTGTTTTAACTCGTAAGAAGAACAGGGGAACACAATTGTGAATTACCTCCCCTATCAAGGAGCAGAATGGTGGGGCGAGGAAGCTTGAACTTGAAGGGTTTATCGCCTTCAAAGGGCTGACATCCAAGGGAGCCCTTTTGCGGGTAGACGACGGAGCCAAGCATGTAGCCGCCATAGTCAGGGGTGCCGAAGTTTCCTATAGCGCTGTCGTGCTTTGATCGCAAGCTCGAAGGGGACAAGACGCTTATGCTGCTCTTCTCCACCACGAAACGACCCAGAGCGACATTCCCAAGAACTGTAATTCCTGCTAATAGCAAATACAGCAATTTTTCCAGAGAAGCCATGGGATTAACAATCAACAACAGCCAAAGAATGGGGAGATTGAAAACAGAGCTTGGACTAGTACTGGTGCTTAATTTGGTAGTTTTATTTTGTCATGTTTGTTTCCTAGGAAACGGGACACATAACCAGTACAGTCGGAGAGAGGAAAAGTGGGAAAGAAGGGGAAATGAAGAGGCAGAGAAGAGAAGAAGACTTCCCAACAATAGTCTAGAAGTGGAGAAGTAAGACGGGGGATGATGATGGAAGAAACGTAGGAAAGAGATTTCAGTCTCTTAACTTATACGAAGGTTTAGTTTTACTTTCAAGGTAGACAAAAAAGACAAGACGGCTAAGAAGAGTTTAAGATACCCAAAATGGTCCCTCAACGTTTATTTGTTTGTGGATATGATCATTTAGAACTTTTAATTGATACAAAGAAACCACTTATCGACATACTTCATGAAATCGTACTGGAAATTGTACCAAACAAATTAGCATAATGATATATGGCGTCACAACTATGAATAAACCAATAGTAGATCGATAAAATACTAAAATAATAATATATTGAAACGCTATACACCAAGGATAGAAAGATTGAACATGTTGTATCAATTGGTAACTTTTTGATGGACGATCTTCATGTTCCACCCACCGATATGATACGATACCAGAACCATACCTATCGCTATCAACGCCAGTCTTGAAATCGTCTATTCCGCTAAGTCCTTAACTGTTTTCTGACGCTTTTTGGACGGTACAGTAGATTTCGTTTCAGGTAGGAGCTTCAAATTTTAGGACTTGATTGAATACTTGAGAAGTTCGAGGACCAAGTGAATGGAATGGAAGACAATAACCACTTCCCGCGTTATTTACAAGGCAAGTAGGCGCGGTCTGCAGTTCGCCGTTTATTTTAAGTTCTGGAAATTGGGTCGTTTACTTTTAACGTGGATGTTGGTCTAGAAAGTGATCCCGACGACAGGGAAAAGACGGAATCCAACAAGTGACATTTTGGTGATTTTTGCCAGTGGCCGGAAAATCACCAATCCCCCACAGCCACTGCCGCCGGTTTCCCAAATGGCAAACGGCCGGCAACAACCCAACTGAAGGAAGCAATAAGTCACCATCTCTTACCAACCTGAATATTTTTATCTGCAAAAATTTTCCTTATTATTGGCTTGCTGCAAGTGCAATTGCTTAAATGCGAAGGCTAAGGAAAAGTAGGCAGCCATCATCTGAGATCATATGCCCACCCACCCTCAAAATCGTTGAGGTCATCAGCTGGATGGACCTGTCAGATTACTCCTTTTATTTTTTTTAATCTTCTTCTTCTTTAACAGGTTTAATCATAGCATGAATCATTCACATATATTTTCTTAGCATATTAGAAAGGGGAATTAGATTATAAAACTAGCTCACAGTATATTTTTTTTAATATTATTATTAGATTTCGTAGAACCAGCGTGATAGTTGTATATGTGGCCATATAACTAGACAATCATGATTGCTCTTGTTTACTCAGTCCAAGCACCCCATTTGCTAATCTTCAGGATCAATGTGGTAAGCATGTTTATCCGTGAAAATCTTCTAACAGTTCAAGTTATTAATACTAGCAAAGACCCGCTCGCTTGCGCTTCGCGATGAGTAAAATGCTCTAAATTGAAGCCGTCATAGTGGCTATATGTTAGGAATGCCCATTAGCATGGTATATGAACAATTTGTTAGTTTGATTGCTGATCGTGTCTTCCGAATTCTCCACAACATGCAGCTTCCAACACACTATTAGAGCTGATGAAAGTTTGTAGCATCACTATTCTAGCCGGGAACAGACCCCTTTGTTACTCTTTTTTGATGAATCAATAACCCTTAATCATGCAAGAGGCCAAGAAAACAAATCAATTATGTTCTACTTCCCTGGAAAGAACAACGACGTTTGGAATTCTCAAACCAAACAAAGCTAGTATTATTTACCCTGCCAAAAAAATGCACTTGAGAAATAGAGACATGCTATCATCAATCATCAGTAGATTGATAGGTTACTTTGTTCCTTCCATAACTACATGATCTGCATCTGACACGAAGGGCCTTTGCTTCACTGCCGACAAAGTAGAATCAGCAAATGCCAAGCCCAAATAGTTTACATTCCAAAATGAGTACATCATATAAAGACCGGGAAAAATGAAACTAACCCAAGAACTTGAGGAGCGAGGTATAATAGCGGATAACTCAGCTCATAACGATTGAGACCTTGCTGGTCTGCCTGCAGGACCAAGAACGAAAAAAAAAAATAAAAAGGCATTATTTTTATTAAAGTTACTTCTAGTTACTGCTCTCACCCTCTAGAATGTGCTTTGAAGATTTTATTCAAGTTACTTCTAGTAGAGAGAAGGGTCAATGACCCCAGTGTTGACCAAATCACCAATCTCTCAGTATAATATAAATAAATGGTAACCTATGATGGAAAATGCAATAGAAGGTGCATTGATCAGGAGAGCAGTTAAGGAGTCAGCTGCCAGTTCTAATGAACAAATCTTCAATGTTTGAGAGCTAAGGAAACAAAACAAAACTTGAGGCAGTGTCCATTTATAAAGAAATTATGAACAAATCTTCAATGGTTGGTGCATTCGATTTGCAGCAGGCACGCACAACAGCAAATGTGATTATTAGGTGGCAGAACAATGACCATCCCATCCTCTCATCTTTCACCATCAATCATTGAAAATGAGGTCAACCTCATTTTATTTAAGAAGGATAGAAATGAAGATTTATATCTTAGAGGAAACAGTGAAATGCGCAGGTTCATGGAAGCTAACTTTATGTAACATACAAACCTAGTAGGATTGACCGACAGAGTAATCCTTTCTTGGTCCTTACTCTTCCTTCTTGCATTATAGCATCCATATTAATCTCATCTCTCTTCAATTGTGACAACCTAGCACAACTGAAAAAAGCATAGTTAATACATTCCCTTAGTATCCATGCGTTTACATTCTATAGAGCAAATACAAACTGCAGAACACTACCAATCCGAAAGGAAAATGCATGCAACTCTTAGTTAACAATGAGGTATTGAGGTCAGGACCTAGCAAGGGAACATTACACTAAGAAACACAATTCCCCAGCTACTACAGATAGTACAAAAATGCAGCAGCAGGTTTATGAGAGAATCATCAATATAACATATAATCAAAGAAGGTTTCAATCTTTATTTCAACTTAACTTTCTTTTCCACAATAACATTTCTGAGTCTGGTCGCAAAAACTGGAGCGACATGATCGTGGATTGATTCCAGTAAGCAGAGATCATAACCCATCTCTTCGCCTTATCATTACCTTGGCTGTGATCACCGAACCTAAAATTAAAAACATGCACAGTAGCCAGAAACAACACCTCATTCTATTTTGGAATCCTCCATATAAAGCACATCACATGAGGAAATGACAGTGATTCAGGTAGACCAACGACCTAACACCATGAAAACAGTTCATGAATTTCGATGTTACAGAAACCTAAGCATGCACTCAAATTGATTGAGGAGGATTCCACATACTTTACTAATGAATAGCATGAATGTTCGTATTCTCCGTGATTAATTGAAATGCGTGTATTTGATCTAACGAACTGAAGAAAAGAGGACAGAAATAACAAAAAACATTAACTTATATATCTAAGATTCATATTCGAGGTTTGGGAGAGCTTCAGTTACAAAGTTCTGATATTTGGTACTTATTTCTAATCCCGTAGTTAGTGATTTAAGTGATCAGATTCAAAACTTGAAGTTTCCCATGCCATAACATTAGAAGCAAAAATAAATAGCAAATACCAGATTAGGACTAAACCAAAACCAAGCACATTATATTCCTACGCCAACGGGAAACTTTATATATCCTTCATTATGATCCATTAAAATCTTTCACCAAAATCCAACAAACACCCATAAACTTTCACAGACCAAAATCCTGTAAGAGTAGAGAAGGAACAAAGCCAAGCATTAATAACTACTTTGTTCAATGTGCAACGAAGCTCACAATTGACATCATCTCTTACCCAACCAAAAAGATTCAGGGGCATAAAAGCATATACAGTTTCCCAATGGAATTATCACTAACTAATCTCAACATGAAGAAAGCAATTTGGAAGATACCACTTGATGGTAAGTAGATTTGAGAATGAGTACATTTCTTGGTGTTTAGGCACCAAAAAGAAGCTGTTGAAAGATAAGATATAATAGTTGCAGAAAGTTGTGGTAAGAATCTCATCAGTAACTAATGGTTTTTCCGAAAACTTATAAGAGATCATGGAGAATAGGCGAGCATAAATAAGTACCAGGACAGGCAGTCAGTTAAGCGGTGAAACAAAACAATAAGGCAAAATTTGGAAGCAGGAAGCAGTCAGCACCTCATAGCCATTTGAGAGAAGGAGTAGAACCAATCGGTGTCATTATCCTGCAGCTTCCTCTGCGGATAATGCTTAGAATCTAGTTGTAGACTTATGATTTGGAATTAATTTCATAAGCTCACAGGAAACCTTTTGCTGGCCATGCTTGTGCTCCCGTTAATCTGCAGGATTTTGGCAAAGAAAGTATAACCCTTCTCTGAAAAGCAAAGCTCTAAGATTGTAAAAGTGAACGAAGAGAGCTCTCATTAACATACCACATAGTAGACTCCCTGACCAGTGCTTTCTCTAGCTCCTCTTTTAACCTTAATTCAAGTACCGTACATACACAATTTGAGAACATCAAATGTAGTTGAACATAGTCAATAAGTGATGAGCTAATCAAAAGTCAAAAAAACAAACTGAAAGCCTTTCAGTCCAGCATTCGGATCATCAAGAAGCCTATTATACAATTCATGACTGGGAAGCAGGGATATAAGACAGTGGCAATTGCAAAATTGATTTCTCACCAAAGAAGCTTGGCTGATTCTAATCTTGCTTCCATTTCTTCTGTCTCCTTAACCATGCTTCTTATGCTGGACCCAAAAAGTCACTCGACCATCTCTTCATCCAGCCTGTTCGGAAAAAGGCAACAATAGATCGTTGCACGTAAATTAAATATGTCAAACTATCTATGCAGTAAGAAAGAAGATTGCGAGAGAGACGAATCACTCGAATGAGCTTCATCTCATCTTGTCCCAAAC